CCCAGCATGCAGGGCCTGGCGCATGGGGAGCAGGGTGTGGGTTGTTTTGGCCAGCTCCTGCTTCTCTCCCAGCCTGACCTTTCCTCTTCAGAGCTTCCTTTAACCTTCTCTCAGGACAGGAAGGCAGAGCCAGCTGGAAGGAATCTGCAAGCAGGCCAAGGCTAGGCTCTGCACCCCATCTATCCGCCCCTTCCCTCCTCTCCCCTGCTGGCTTTGTACACCTCCCTTTTGAGGGGACAGTGACTTGGTGGTGCTGACAAAACTCTGGACTTCTGGATGGCTTGCTCTTGGCTGGGTTGGGCCTCAGTTTCCTCATCTTTAGAGTAGGGTCATAACAACCCTTGGTCCACAGGGTTGATGAAAAACCAGGACACCTTGAGAGGAGTTATGTGACCTGCCCAGCACTGGGCACCATCACCAGGCAATCCCACCAATGATCCAGGCTGAGTCCTTGCAGCCATATCACTTGTTACTCCTATACAAAGACCTGGCCTCGCGAAATGTGCATCTATGGCTGACGTAGAGCGGGTCTTCACTCTCAGGAACACCCGACCTCCGTGGATGCTTCTTACATATTGGTGCTGACTGCAAGGTTCCTAGAGGCAGGGTGCTGTGTTGGCATGCCTCATGAGCTCACAATTTTTGGAAGCACTTGCTGAACACTGCTAGCCCCAGCCCTATCTGAGACCTCTCACCCTACAAACATTTGGACTTATGGGCAAAGTCAGGACCCCAGGGCAAAGTCAGCAGCTTGCCAACGCGCGTTTGCTGTATTTATATCCCTCAATTTTCCCATCTGTGAAGTGGGGGCAGCGTTGGTCATAGACTCCTTTCTGCCTCCCAGGGATGATTTGAGAGAGTGAGGTCATGTCTGGGCAGGGCTCTGTGAGCTTCGGAGCATCCTAAGATAAACACCAGGCGCCCCAACTGCCTGGAAGAGCAAAGACAGCCACAAACCGCATGTCCATTCCCCCATTGCCATTGGGTAAGCACTTCTCTCCTATTCAGTGGGCCTCATCAGCCCTATCACAAGTCACACTTGAGACAAGCCAAAAAAAACTAAAAAACCCCTTGTAAACTTTATTGTTGTTGTTGTTTTATTTTGAACCAGGGATTAAACCCAAGGACACTTAACCATTGAGCCACATCTCCAGCCCCTTTTTTATATTTAAAGTCAGGGTCTTACTGAGTTGCGTAGGGCCTCTTTAAGTTGCTGAGGCAGCTTTTAAAAAAAAATTTTTTTTTTAGTTGTAGATGGGCATAATGCCTTCATTTTATTTATTTATTTTTCTGTGGTGCTGAGGATCGAGCCTGACGCCTCATACATACAAAGCAAGCTGTCTGCCACTGAGCTACAAACCCAGGCCAAGGCTGGCTTTGAACTCTCAATCCTCCTGCCTCAGCCTCAGCCACTGGGATTACAGGCAGGTGCCACCATGCCTGGCGTCTCGTAAACTGTTAAGGGCACACAGGGGTGGAACCAGCCCTTCCAGGTCTGCTAAAGAAGACAGAGGTGGTGCTCCTCAAAGCTTTGGGAAAAAGAGAGTAGCCCAGCCGTCCGCCTGGGACAGAGGGGAAGAGCAAGTGAGGGAGGGAAAGAGGCTGAAGACACAGGAACCTCCGAGGCCTCCGCAGAGTCTCCATTCCCAAAGGGGAAAATACTGCAGAAGTAGGAGGCTGCGCAGGGGTGTCCTGACGGGAGTGAGGCAGGGGAGGGCATGCGCACGCACGTGAGTGTATGAGCCCATGAGCAAAGAGGCTGGGGGACGTGGTCTCCTCTGGGACACGGGACTGAGATGGCAGGCTGTGGAGGACAAGGGTGTCTGTGACACTAGATATTACAGAGCAGCAAACCCTGTTTCTTTTCAGAACAGGGAGGGTGAGGAAGTGGCCCAAGCTACAGGAGGAGGAGGAGGTCTGGCTATAGACACTGGCTGCAGAGTGGGCTCTGCCACTCACTCCCCACATGACCTTGAGGGAGCCACGTCCACCCGCTAGGCCAGCTGTCAAATGAAGGCATTGTTGGATCCCAGAATAGAAAAGTCATGTTAATGGCAAACCTGGTGAAATCCCAGGGAAGTCTGTTGCTTTGCTGGTGGGCTGCATCAATATTAATGTCTCAGTTTTGATAAAGACACATGTTTATGTAAGATGTTCCCGTTGGGGGGAGCTGGGTGAAGGATGACTGGGAGTTTACTGTGCTCTCTTTGTGAAGTGACTGCAAATCTAAAATGATTTCAAAATAAAAGGTCTGGGCTGGGGATATGGCTCAAGTGGTAGTGCACTTGCCTAGCATGCGTTCGGCCCGGGTTCGATCCTCAGCACCACATACAAACAAAGATGTGTGCCCGCTGAAAACTAAAAAAAATAAATAAATATTAAAAAATTCTCTCTCTCTCTCTCTCTCTTAAAAAAAAATAAATGGAAGTTTGCATTTAAAAAAATTAAAAAAAAAAATAAAAGGTCTGAGGATTTTATAAGGAAAAAGGGGAAGCGGGCCTCAGATGTGCACACCCCGAGTTCACTTCCAGCTCTGAGACTGGCGCATCTGTGGTGTGTGGGCCAGGGAGAGACTGAGGACAGAAGGTGGACAATGAGCTCCGGACCTCAGCCAAACAGAGGTCCCAGGGCCTCTGTGGGGGCACAGTGCCAGAGTACCCCAGGCCAAGGCTCAGGGTCAGTCTCCAACTGAGCTGGCTCTATTCCCAGGCCTACTCCTAGAACAAATGGACACACATCCACCTGCTGTTTACAAAGAATCGGACCACACAGGACCCCGAGGTGCTGGAACCCTCCGTGGGAGAGGAATGAATTTCAGAGGACACAAGGTCTTGTGGTGAGCCCGTGAGCAAAGAGGCCTGGGGTAGGTGGTCTCCTCTGGGACCCAGAACTGAGATGGGCAGGCAGGGTGGCGGGGAGGGGTGGGGTGGGCAGGCAGCCTTCCCTGCTGATGAAGTTCAGAGCAACATCTTTCCCAAGAAGGACCCAATATTTTGGGTCCTGGGTTGACACGAGGACAGGGGTAGAGAAGGTGAACTATAGGTAGGAATGTGTCACTCAGTGCTACTTGGAACACAATCAGCTATAAAGTGTATATTTTCGGAGAGGACAGAGAAGAGGGCAAGTTCATTTTTAAACTCCAGGAAGGTCTAAGACTATAATATAAACGAAGTGACCTGAGTCAGAAAACTTGGTTCAAATCCCAGTTCTGTCGCTAAAATTGCTGTATGACCTTGGGTGACTTACTTAACCCAAACCTGCCCGTTTTTTTCTTCTGTAAAATGGAAAGAAATCATATCTATCCCAAAATAGTGATAAGGGATTAAATGAGATCATTTAAATGAAAGAAATTAAATATATTCAATGAAAACAACAGTACAGTAAAATATAGGAGTTCCTAATTTTTTCTTTCCTTTTCTTTTTTAATCCCAAGAAAAAGTGAAAATAACCAAACCCTCCAAACAATGAACAAACCTAACTTTTTTTTTTTTTTTTTTAAATGAAGGATGGTTATATAAATCATGACACAGCGGTTTGGTGGAATATAAGTAGCCATTTAAAATGAAGGTTAGGAAGCAACATAGAAAAATGATCACAACACAGTGTTCAGAGAAAGAAACCAAGTACAAAACACACCAATTCAACCACGTCCACAACAAATCCCTGGAGAAATATGCACAAACACTCATAGTGGTTGGGTTGGGGTGAGCAGGGGTGGGCTTGCAGGTAACTTTCTCGTTTTCTAGAATGTTCAGAAAGTAGGTTACATTTATAATAAAAAATTTTATTTAATAAAAAAAAAAAAAAAACAATCCCCGAACCACAGCAGGAACAATTAGGTGTGACAAGAGCTGGCTGAGATACACAGGGGAGGGCGGAGGGAGAGCCACACCAGAAGGGCCAAGGGAAGGGGCGGGCAGGGGCGGAATGGCAGTGAAGCTCAGCCTTGGGCACTGTAGCCACCAAGGGCAGTCAGCTGGGCAGGGCTTTCCTGGATTTCCCTCCAGGTCAGGGCAGACAGAAGAGGAGCGGTGGAGAAGCTGGGGGTTTGTCGGGAGCAGTGGGGCTCCAGAATCCACAGGCCAAAGCTGCCCAGGGAGGCCACTTCAGTGCTATGCCCAGGACTGTGTATCGCCTGCTGTCACAGTCAGGAGCATTTTCAGGGGGCAGCTCCCCGGAAAGCTCCAGGAACCCAGACTCCCGGAACAAAAGCAGGCAGTGGTATTTGAGGTCCCTGTCACTGGGTCCCCACCTGCCCCTCTTGGCCTCTGCTCTAGAGCACATTTCCTTGTCTCCCCTCCCTCCCTAGGCCACGTGGCCTGCAGGAGCAGGGCCAACCAACTGGCAGCAGTCACAGAACAAGAGTTTAATGGAAATCACGAAGGTGGGAGGAGGGGGCAGGGGTGGCATCACCGGTGTCCTCTCCAGCCAAGCCAGGCAGGCCCTGATGCCATCTCCTCCCCACACTTCACGGCTCTTCTGACAGGAGGGAAGAATTTTGGTGGCCCCTAGTCCAGCATGCCCGAAGTGGGAAGAGCTGCCCGGAGCCCAGGGGGGACACAGGTGTGATAAGCAGAACTGCAGGTGAGGCTGGGTGGCAGGGCACGAGGCAGCAGAAGGAAGTGTTGCTTAGGCCAGAAGCAATTCCCGAGGTCCCCCAAAGAAGGGCTGTTTGTCTCCCGTGCTGGGGCGCAGGGATTGAAGGGACTCAGTCACCCTTAATACGGGCCTGGTACCATGGAGGAGGAGTAGGGGTGAAGCAGGTGCCAGCCTGCAAAGGGCAAGTGTGAGCTTCTTCGGTGGCACTGTGGTTGTGGGTGTTAGGGCCCAGGCAAGGGTGAGGAGTGGTACCCTGCTGGGGCCACAGTGGTGTTTGTGGGATTGACCCAAAGTCCCTAATTCCCCCGGCGCCTTCCCTGGCTGAAGCTGTGCCTGGCGAAACTGCACCCAGGTGGACACCTGGATTACCTGCCTGCCACCTTGCCCCACCCCCATGTCCCCTATTTAGCCTCCTCTAATGTCCCCACAGCCACCTTCACTGCTTGGAACACAGCCCAGTCCATCTAGGAAAAAGAGAGAGGACAAAGAATTTTCAATCACATTCCGGGGCCCACAGCTCCCCCTCCCCCCGAGAAAACCCTCTCTCTGCACGGGCAGACTGACTTCTGGCCTGGCACAGAGCCGGACCTGGCCTGTCCACCACAGCTGTGCCCCAGGGGGGTTTGGACGGCACACCCAGCCTGCTGGCAAGGGTCACACTCACTTGGGCATAAAGCAGGTGGCAGTCTGGAGGCAGGCTGGTTCCCTGGTGACAGAGCTGAGCAGAGAGGGCAGAGGTCTCAGGGGACAAGAAGTGCTGGGTGACGCTGACTGTGCTCACCAGGCCCTGCACCTGTGCCAGGGAGGGCGGGCAGGAGGGTCAGTGCAGGCTCAAGGTCATGCATCCTGTCCCTGCTTCTGTAGTCCCTGAGGTCCACTTCCTCTGATGACCCCACCCAACTCTCAGAGAGGAGAGGACAAGGATACAGCACCATGTAAACAGGTGTCCTAAACCAGGCCAAAGGGATGCCCGAGGGCCACTGAGGAGGCCAAGACCAGAGCACCCCTCTGGGGCGTGTCCCACTTGGACTTGAGGACCCAAGGACTCCACAGCTTCTCTGTCGCCTCCTCCCCACTGCAGGCCATGGCTCCTGCCCTCTCGCTCTGGGGCCTGGAGAGAATGCTATGTGACCCTGGGGGTTCTCTGTCCCTTGCTTCTGCTCCCCTGATCTCCCCACGGAGCCCTGCCCACAGGGGAAGCACCTGGTGGGGTGCCCCTGCGGGCACCAACACGGCCTCTCCGGGAGCCTGCAACAGGGTCCAGCAGTTCACACCCCACTCCTCCCGCAGGCGCCGGCGAAGCCCCGCGTCCAGGTAGCAGCTGCCTGGGGCACCGGGCTCCAGGGTCCCTGCCTCGGCAGGGCACACCTTAGGGAAGAGAAGGGGAGATGAGCCAGAGGTGAGAGGGAGGGGGCCGCGGGAGGAAGGGGACATGGGCTTCACAGAAGCCAGGGTGCAGGAGCTCGGGGACAGTCAGATCTTGAGAGGCAGGCAGCAGAGGGCACGGGATGGGAGGAAAGGGGCTGGTGGCGAGGGCTGGGGCAGCTCAGGGTGTCACAACAAACATTCAGCTGGAAGGAGCTTAGAGGAAAGGATTAAGGACACTGGAGTTGAGGGTCTAATCCCTGCTTTCCTGGGGCCAGCTGCCTTTCCCAGCCTCTGTGGCCCTGGCTTGGTCCCTGGTCCTCTCTCAATGGTGCTCCTTTCTTCAAAACCCAGCAAGATGTCCTGCATAATCTCCCCTCCTCAATGGTCCACACCATGGCATCTGTGACTGGCCTGCAGTGGCTGCTAAGGTGGGGGACAGTCCTGGGGAGAAAGTCTGAAACACCCAACGCGTCCTGAGATCCTGGATCCAGAAGCGCAAGGCCACACAGAGGTTCTGATTCTCAGTGGGTGGACAGGCTTGCCTGCTCAGACCAGGGCCTCTGCGGCAGGAACTGCTATGGGGGCCGACACCAGCCCAACCAGAGCTCCTGGGGCAGGCAGGGACTCGTGGAGGCCGCAGGAGGAGGTGCCCAGGGAACACCTGCTGAGGTGAATGCCAGCATCATGCTCCAACTGGCCACCAGCTAGATCCACCCCCTTCAGCTAGGACCTCAGCCATCATCCCTGGGCTTAGAGCTACCAGACTGGGCTGAGGGGGGGAGGGAAAGACTGGTGAACCAGACTAGACCCTAGAGAGTGCCAGCCAGGTGCCAAAATGTCCTTGCCAAGAGATCCAAGTCCATCCTGGGGCCAGAGCTGTGTGTTCCCAGGCCACCCAGTGAGAACGTCCCCTCTTAGACCTCTCCCATGAATCATCGTGTTGGGCCATTCAGGACTGCCCACAGCCAGCCACACCCTGGCCAGACGAGGCCATCTGTTTATGACGGGTGCCTCTGTCTGCTCCCTTCTGGGTGTCCCAGCATCGGTGTGTGCCTCTGCAGAGGTGTGCAGGACGTGGTGGACAACACCCCCTTGGCCTCTGCGTGTCTGTGTGTGCCTCAGAGGGGTGACACTTTGTGGAAGTCTTTTCTCCAGGATAACTGGAGCCCAGCTGGACTCTGCAGCCATGAGGCCCCTGTCCGGGCTGGGTCTCTCCTCTACCTGCCCCTGGTCTACCGCCCTCAGCTCTCTACCTGGCTAGACCTCCCTTGGGCAGTCTCTTCTCATTTCCTGGTGGAGCCGTAAAAGGGGAGCAGCAGGGCTCCCCTTAGCCTCTGCCAGGCTCACCCTGCCCCAGAGCCCAGGAAAGGGAGGCCGCTGGCCCAGGAGGAGCAGAGAGGTGACCTGGGTCGGAGCCGACCGAAGCTCAGAGCTCAGCTTCACTGTGAGCCTCCATTTCCTGTCTACAAAATGAGTCAGGGCAGGGGGAGAGTAATGGGCGGACATTAAGGTACCCAAGGCCTACCGTAGCACAATGCCCAGCCTACATCAGTAGGTCCCTGCTCTCCTGTCACACCACCTTCTCCTTTGGAGCCCCTCCACAGAATGGGGGTCCTCGTCTGCCTTCTCTGTACCTGTTTGAATGACTGGGGCAGGCCAGCTCCCCGTGGGGGCTGGGGTGGGGAGCAAGCACAAGAGACGGGCACGGGGTACACAAGACAAGCTCCCAGCTTCCCTCCTCACCATCTGGAGAAAGCGGCGGATGCGCTGGGCGTCCTGTGCCCGGAACACGTGCCACACGGTGCTCACCTGGCTACCGGGAGACCAGAGCCCCTCCCCGTCCAAGCCTGAAAGGAAATCTGCAGGAGAATGATGGCTCAGGTGGGCCCAGAGCAGGAGGAGACCGACACTTTAGTCACTAGCTTGTCCCTCGTCCTGTCCCCAGCCCAAGAGCCACCTCTTTTTTCTTTCTTTCTTTTTTTTCTTTCCTTTTTAAAAAAAGGTGCTGGGAGTTGAAACCAGGGCCTCTCACATGATAGGAAGTGCCACTGAGCTATACCCAAACCCTTTTGAGACTGGTCTCACTAAGTTGTGATCCTCCTGCCTCAGCCTCTCAAGTAACTGGGATTACAGCATGTGCCAAGGCACCTGACTGACCCACCTTTCTGTGCCCGGTGCCAAGCAGGAAGTGGTGCCTCTGCATGAACCAGGATGCTGACCAGGTCAGCCACCTCCACACAGAGGTTCTTGGTCCCCAGATGTCCACGGTGTGAGCTCACGCCTGTGTGGAGACAGAGAATGGATGGTTTGGAACAGAATAAAAGAGCACTATGGGCCTCAGGACCTTGGCACAGACACCAGTGTACCCCAAGATGACAGATACAAGGTGAGGGTAGGGAGTGGCCAGGACAGGCAGGGCACTGCACTCACCATGAGCCGCCCAGAGCTGGGGCTCCAGCAGATGCAGGGCAAGGCCGGGTGGGAGGTAGGAAGCCAGGTTGAGTTTCCCGCGGTGGGCACAGTACTCGGGGAGGGGCAGGCTGGAGGCGAGGTTCTCCACCCTGTGGGCAGCGGGCTTTGCGCTCAGCAGGTCCAACCCAAGTGCCAGAGGCCCCACTAGACACCCCACCACCACACTGAGTGACTCCCAGAGGGCAAGCTGGGAGCAATGAGGTCCCAGGGGACGGTGGGGGTGTTGAAGGAGGGGTGGGTGGATAAGGGACAGATGGTGGGGGAGAAGACAGGGCTGGCCCTTGGGATCCCGCACACCTGCTGGTGTCCTCATCTCCCAGAGCTCGGTGCAGCAGGAGGACAGAGCCCTCGTCTGACTTGGGGCGCACTAGGGGAGAAGACAGAGTGGCGCTGGCCTCGGAGGAGCTGGCCCTCGGGTCCCAGGGACAGCAATACATGGGTGCAGCCCCTGTGCAGGGCCCCACTGCCCGCCACCCCACATCAGGAATACTTACTCTCGGGCTGAGAAAATCCCTCCCAGAAGGCTGTGCTGTCCAGGCTGGTGGGCTTGGGGGGACCTCGGGGAGTCAGTGTGTGCACCTGGCCTCCAAGCGCCCCCAGCGCCCCCACGTCCCACAGGTGGCCTCGCAGTGTTCTCTGAATCCCTGACACCAACACGGGCTGCAGAGGGAGGGAGGAAGGCAGGGCGCGGGGAGGATGAGAGGCAGCCCTCCCGGAGCACTGGCAGCTCCAGGGCAACCCGGAGGTGCAAGGGGACAGTGGGCCTAGGGATGGGGGCCTGCAGGCGGGCGAGGCCCGGAGGGCCTGAGGGGAGAGGCCGACACTCACCTGGCCCTGCCTCCAGTGCTCCTGGAAGAGGTGGAAACCCCGCCGAGGCCTGGGCTCCTGGAGCCACAGCAAGGCCCCCGGGGGCTGCAGCCGCGGCCTCACTGGTGAGAGGGGCAGGCTCAGGCCCTTGCGCAGGCCTGGCCCTGCTCGGAGGCCCGGCCCCAGGGCTTTCTCCTGGATTTTGCGTTCCACCACTTGCGCGATGATACTGTCCAGGATGTTGGTGATGCGGTCATCCTGGGGGCAGGGAGGGAACGGGGCAGGAGGGCTCAGGACCTGTCGGCCCCACAGGGAGGCAGCCCAGTCTCTGGTCCCAGGCTCCCAGCCCTCCCTCCGTGCCCTGGCTCACACTGGGCAGGGCCGGAGTAACAGGGGCAAAGGCCATGTGGATCCGCTCGTGTCCCAGGCAGAGTTTGACAGCAGTCGAGGCCAGCAGTTCACAGAGAGAGGGACAAGGCAGGGGCCCTCGGCTGGCCCGGTCCTCTGTTGGGGTCTCAGTGGAGTCTGGGGTCTCTGTTGGGAAAGAAAATAGCAATGTCTACTCTCCTCACCAACATCCGTGCATGACCTTCTGCCACAGGCAGCTCCAGAGCCTCTTGAAAGGGGGGCCAGAACCAGAGTCTGACTGGAGAAGAGGCTGGGAGACCCATCTCGAGCAGAGTGATGGGCATTACTGGGAGTGGGGGTGGGAGGCTGCTTTCTTTCTTGTTTTGGGGGGGTGGGTACTGGGGATTGAACCAGGGGTGCTTTACCATTGAGCTACATCCCACCCTTTTTACATTTTATTTTGATACAGGGCCTCACTAAGTTGCTGAGGCTGTCTTCAAACTTGTGATCCTCCTGACTCAGCCTCCCGAGTTGCTAGGATTACCAGGATGTTGCCATGCCCAGTAGGGGTGGCTGTTTTCTAAAGCAATTGCAGATTGTTCCTGGACATTTCTGCTGCCTGCTGTCTCACTGCATCACTCTGTCCAAGGGGGGGTGGGGAGCCGCTCACCCTCTTTGATGTCCTTGGTCCTGTTGAGGTCCCCATTGCAGGAAGGTCGTGGAGTTGAGGGAGTTTTCTCTGTGGGCTCCTTCTGTTAAACCCCCAGTGCAACCAGAGATTTTTAAAACGGCAGCTACAACTCAACTCAACCCACAAGAATTAATGATGGACTCCTGAAAGTCCCCAAATTGTGTTTACAGGAGTAAAGTATTACAGGACATAATGTAAGGAGAGAAGCAGCTACTCATGGACTTCTCCTTACAGTATGATTTAAAGTACAAGAACATAAATGCAAATAAAAATATTGACAAAGGACTGGAAAGAAATATGTCAAAATGTTTATGGTGGCATGTGAGGTCATTATCGTTTTCTTCCTCATGCTTTGTACTTTCCCAAATTTCCACAGGAGTATGTGACATGGGGTCTGATACACAAAACACGCTTAGAGAACTATTTCTTGAATGGATAAGTTTTATCATAAAAAACATGAACTTCATAAAAACTTTGTACCATGCTGAGCACCTGCTGCACTTGGTGCTGGGAAAACTGAACTAGAAGCAGCGTGAACTGGGGGGCTGGGGCTGGGGCTCAGTGGCAGAGAGCTTGCCTCGCACATGTGAGGCCCTGGGTTCGATCCTCAGCACCACATAAAAATAAATGAATAAAAATAAAGATATTGTGTCCATCTACAACAACAACAACAAAATTTTTAAAAAAGAAGCGTGAACAGGAAGAGGACTCGATGCAGGCAGGGAGTGAGGTGGGTGTAGAGGTAAGGTACCAGATGCTGGCGCTCACTGCTGGGATGCTAATCCCCAGGCGAAGTAGGGAAGTAGCCCAGTCCCATTGGCTTCCGTGTCCCTCTTCATCCCCATCAAAAGAGAAGGGCCAAACCCCTTGCAAAGGTCAGTCACTCGCAGGCACACTTACCCCACCCTGGGGCCTACTGTTAGTCTTTGTGAGGTGAGCCATGCCCTGGTTCTTACCTGCTGGCCCCCATCTGCAGTGGCCCACACCCGGGCATCAGTTTGGCAGGGGCAATGCCCCCGGATGTCGAACTTGACCCAGACCTGGTGCATTGCAGTGCTCAGTTGGGTCAACACTGGGGGTAGAGAGGAGAGTAGGAGGTTGGGGGGGAGTGCAGACCAGCAGCTTGGCCTCAGCAATGGGAAGGACATGGCACCAGGGTGAGGGACAACCAGACAGGAAGCTGGTCTCCCTCAGGACCCACCCACTCCACGCTCCACCCCTCCATGATGGCTCACCCTGGCTAGAGACAAACTGGGTCAGCGTCAGAGAACAGGCAGCGTGCCCAGCCTCCTGGGCACACTCCTCCGTGGACTGCTCCGGAGAGCCTGTGGGGTGGGAAGGGAGATGCTGCAGGTCCAGAAAGCAGGGTAACCATGGGTTAAGGTCAGGGAAGAAGGCCAAGGACATGATATGAAATCAGGGGCTCAACAAGCCATAAAGCTTGTTGCTTTCTGGGAAACTTGGGCACACAGTGTCGTAGGATTCTCTGCCTGCCGAAAGCAGAGGCTTTCATATGCATCTTTGCAACAGCTCAAAGTGGTCATGTGGGAGAGAATGTTCCAGAATGTTTCTGATTCTGGAAATTTTTTTAGCCATATCTCTTGGAACACCGAGAAACTTCAAGACCTCAGGTGATTGGGTTGAGGCAAGGAAATGAAAACTGAGAATCATGAAAAGAACGGATAGAGTCAGAAGATCTAAGTCTAAATGCTGGCCTTAACACTTACTAGCTGCTCGGTCTTGGGCAAATCACTTAACCTTTCTGAGTTTTTCTTATCTGGAAAACGGAGGCAAAAATACCCACCTCACAGTGTTACAACAGGTTTAAAAAGATGCAAGCTGAGCAAAATGGGAGGCATAGAGTAGGCACCCGACTTCTCTTAAGGGTGGGCAAGGATACAGGCGTGGCCCTTGATCTGGGGAGAGGGAAAGTTCTGCTCTAAGGGGCAATGAGCCTCAGTGGCTCAGGCCAGGGCTGGGCGGGGCAGGGAGGCTCTTTGGAGAGAGGCAGCCAGGAAATGGCCACACACCCTAGAGCAGGCCCACAGGGCCTCCCTCCCCGCCCACCCACCACCCACCCCCAGCCCCTGGCCCCTCCCTACCTGCTTTGTCCCGGGCCCTCCCAGCACCGGACATGCGACCACAGGCCACACACAGCCGGTGGCTGCAGCGGGGGCATCTCCAGTGGGTGTTGAAGAGTCCATGGTGGCAACGGCTACAGCAGCGTGGGATGCCCGGGCTTTCCTCGGTCACGGCTGGCCCCAAGCCTGCTGACCACAGGAGAGATCAGGGTCAGGGGACTGAAGGCGATGTCCTTTCAGCTTCGTATGGGAAGCCTCCAGGCAGAGGGGGGAGAAGCAGGGAGCAGTTTCCAGCGAGAGCCACCTGGAGGAGGGAGACAGTCCCCTTGATTCCCCCCAACTTAGCAGTCCCTGACAAGAACGTCCCTGCAGGAACCACCCCCTCAGACAAGGCCACCCCCCCAGCCATGGCCCTAGCTTCCCAGGCCTGCCCCGGGGACCCTCTGAATGAATAATCCATGCCACTTCCAGCACGTGCCTTCAGCCCCGCTCCCTGCCTTCCCAGCCCTGCTTGCTACCAGAAACAGACAGACATGGTCACTGCTCCAGTGGCCTTTCCTTCAGGGGACACTGTATTTTCTTTTGAAGAGGAAATCTTAAGAGGCCACATCTGTCTTTACCCAAAGGAGTGGATTTTTTTTTAAGAGCAAAATTTCAGATTAAGCCATGATTGACAGGTAGAAAAGGAGCGTGCACATTCAGCAAGCACCTGGGCTGGGTTGGGGACTCCAGGCTGCTCCGCACTGGGCCCCTGCCCTCCCAGCATTCACACTCCAGGCGGCGAGATGGACCCGCTGACACAAGATGACTAGGCACCACAAGGAAGGTGTGGTGGGGCAGCTCCAGGAGTGGGCCCCAAAGTATGAGTAAGTCTTCATGCACCAGGTAGGAAGGGAGGGGCAGGGTACTCCAGACAGGGAACTGCCAGTGTCAAGGCCCCAGGGGGTGGACGGCTCCGGGAAGGAGGGATGGGTGTGCATGCTGGAAATCCAGCCTGGGAACAATAGGAGCCAACAGGAGCAGACAGTGGCCCGCTGAAGAAAACATGGGGTGCTGGCCCTTTCTGGGGCAAGAGGAGCCACAAATGATCTCTACAAACACCCCTTCCAGTGACGGGCAGGCCCAGGGCTGCGTGATTACAAAGACCACTCTGGTGCTGTGAGAGGTGGGCTGGAGGGACAGCCTGAGCCTAGAACTCCACCAGGCGCCCTCCAGTCTTGATCATCAGCCTGAATCCCACCAGCCTCCTGGGCCCATGAGCCTCACCACCCCAGGAAGCCTCCGGGCCCGCCTCCCAGGGTTCCTGCAGACACTTGTACTTGGCCTTGTTTTCCCCACAAGCCCTGAGGCTCTCTGGGAATTGGGCTGGACCAGGATTTACACTTCCCAGCATCCCCCACCCAAGCCAGAAACCTCAGCGTTGACTAAGAGACGGACTCAGAAATAAGGACAGACGAGGCAGGAGCTCTTCTGAGGTCACAGGAGGCTTAGGAAGCCACGGCGGGGGTGGGGGATGGAAGGGAGGTCCAGCTCACCCTCACGCTGCGCCCAGGCCAGGGCCTCCCGCTCTCTCCGCAGCAGGCGGCACAGTCGGTCCCCCAAACCACTCAGCAGGTGCTTGGCGAGGCCCATGCTGAGTCCAGCTTCCAGGCCAGACCCTCCACCCTCCTCAGGGCTGCGCAGGGAGTCTTCCTCCGGCTGCTCCCCTCCCAGAGGCAATCTGCAGACCAGGCAGAAGGCCTTGAGGAGGGAGCCCCGGGCCAGAGGAGGGGATGCTGGGGAGGCCAGGGCCAGGCTCACCTCTGTGCTCGCTGGGAGTGGCAGGTCGGCCCACCCACCTCTCCAGCTGCCTGGGCACAGCTTTGGCATTGAGCGATGCCCGTTGACAGAGACGGGCAAGGTATGTCCTGAAGCCCAGGGTCCTTGAGGCTGGTCCTGCCGTCTCGGGATCCTAAGGAAACAATGCAGCTGGTCAGGAGTTTGGGGTTCTGGGGCTCAGGCCAACCCTAGACCCCTGTTTCAGCACCCACCCTGTCCACGCATACAGTCCAGTCCCTTCCTTGCCCCAGGCCTGTGAGGCCTAATTCAGAACCAGCAAGAGCGGGCCAGGGAGCCAAAAGGTCCACACACGAGGCTGAGCAGTGGCCTGCCCTCCTCTGTCCTTCTTCCTGACTTGGCCTCTCATGCCCTGGCATGGACGGAAGCTGAGGGAAGGGGTGTCTGGTGTCGGGCCCAAGGCTTTGGGCAACTGGAGCGACGGTCCTCACACAAGTGCGGGATCCTTCCAGTGTCGAATCTGGCTAGCTCCACGAGGGTTTAAGTGATACGGCTGGCCGAGTGACAGCGCGAGGAGACAATCCCAACGCAGACAGATGATGGAGGGCTCCGGAAAGTGAGAAGGCTGGAGGGTTTCAACACAGGCCACAGGTTCAGTAACCCAAGAAGGCGAGGAGGCCAACCACTTCCCAGGCCAGACGAGGCCTGGGGGGTGCAGACAGACCCGGGCCGGGCGCGGAGGTACTTGTTCAAGGCCACAGACAGTCCTGATCCACACCAAATAGTCCAGAAGGCGGAGAAAGTAGGGGATCCTAAAGAACTGAGGCCAGGCCAGCAGCGCCGGAACCCTCTGTGAAGGACACAGAGTAGCGGCAGCGTCCAGGATGTGCCCAAGGTCCTTAACAGTGAAGAGTTCAAGCTGAGCCTCCATGGTCCACCTGGCCAACAGGCAGGACAGGGATCCTTCCGGACAGGTGACGCCAATCCAGGATTTGTGGCACAAATAATCATAGCCATGAACATTGATTGTTTATTAAGAGCCACCAATTCTATCATGCCCTTGATGTGGATTATTATAGTATTTAATCCTGGCAGCAGGCTTCGTGAGGTAGACACATCTTTATCCCCATTTTATAGATGACACAACTGAGGCCCAGAAAGGTGAAGTTATTTACCCAGGGTCACACAGCTACTGATCAGCAAAGTCAGGAAGCAAGCACTTTGAACCCAAAGCCCATGCTGCCATCAACACACCACGGCTTGGCAGGAGACAGGGAGATGGAAACCATTGGCTGGAAGGCGGTAGGCTCTGGCTGTAGATGCTGAGAAGCCCCAGAGAGCCACAGACACTGAGGCAGGAAACCTGACAGCTGGGTGTAGTCCAGCCTCAAAGCACCTATGGACCTTGTCCCCTGCAGAGCCCCAGCCCTGCTGCTGCTTGCTCCCCAGTCAGGCCACGGAGCCTCCACCACCCCTTACCTTTCTGTTCCTCCAGCTGTTCTGCCTCTGCCTTGCTCCCCATTGATGTGTCCAGCACCTCCTGCCACACTCCAGTCCCCTGCCCCGTGGTGCCTGGGAAAGGGTCAGGTGGACGTTTGGGGGTGGGGCCGCCTGCTGCTCCCTGGACCTCAGGGCTGCCTGCCCTCTTGAGGGCCCGGAGCCGGGCAGCTGAGCTCTTCTCATCCCCAGGACAGTCGCCTGGACACCCAAACTGCTCCGAGTGCCGTGTGAGCCATGTCTTCTTCAGCTTGGTGTGGTGGCTTGGGGGGCAGGCCCTGGGACCAGGCACCTTGTTCACTGCCTCTCTGGATGCGTGGGGCCCACTGGTACCCCCCTCCAGGCTCTCCTGGCACTTTCCACAAGAACCAAGATCCCCCTCTCTAGCGGGTGGGTGGGATGAGCAACAGCCCCCCTGGGTGGTAGGAGGCCTAGGAGAGGGGCACCTTGGGGTGGCTGGTGGCCCCAGGGGGTACCCAAGGCTGCCACTGCCTGGTATAGCCCAGACGTTGCCAAGAGTATGAACCAGGCCTGGGGGATAAGTGGGCCAGTGGGGCAGGGGAATAGTGTCTGGATGCCCCAGGAAACGTGGGCAGAGAGTCTGCTGCCTGCCAGCTCTGGTCTCCCCATCCCTCTGGGGCAGTGAAGGGCCTTCTGCCTCTCGGGCTCTCTGGAGGTGTCCACCAGGGGCTGAGCCCAGCAGGCCAGGTTCCAACGTGGCCACGGGTTCCTTGGCCACCCTGAGAGTGCTCGGATCCTTGTGATAAAAGCCCTGAGAGTGGAGAAAGAGTTCAGTTAGTGCTGGCTTGGTTCCCAGGGTTTAAAAGGACAGGCAGGACCAACAGCAGCAGTTGTCATGAACAAAATACTGCTGCTGTGAAACCACCGAACAGCTCACCAATCGGGTGATCAATGGCACTGCCCGGGGTCCCCTGAGTGGTTCCTCGTTGCCCTGGGATCCCCCTAGAGCCTCCTCTGGGATTTCTCAGACTTCACCACAATCCAACAACTAATGTCAGCTCATGGCTGACCCTGCCAAAGGGCATCCAGGACCTATTTAGGTGATTTGGTGCCTTGACCCATATTAGTTTTTAAGTATTTTAAAATCTTAATCTGGGCATGGGGTTGCCTATGGGTGAGAAACCTTAGGTACAAGTTATGAGGTCCCAGCATATCCCGTTCCTAGATACAGAGAGACCTTGCCTATCCTGCACCCCAGGACAAGGCCACGCATATGAAGGGCAGCGTTTCCAAGGCCTTGGCCTGGGTGGGCAAAGGGGAAGTCAGCGGCTGCAGAAGCCTGAGGGCAAAGGAGGGCCAGTAAGACGAGCTGCTGGGGCCGGGGGCAGCTGGTTGCACGGGCTGACTCCAGGGGACAACTTTGGACTCCTCCAGGTCATCAGATGGACCGGCAGAGTGGTATCATTAAGTATATTGTGTGTCCTGAGCCCCAGGTGACTACCCTCTGCTCCTGCACTCACCTTGCTGCCTAAGCTGAAGGCGGAGGGCACTTTGGGCTGGCCCCCGGAGTACACCCAGGGGGGTGGGGCCAAGGGCCAGTCACATGGACGCTCTGGGGGCAGACTGGATACGAAGTAGGGCGGCAAGCAGGTGGGCACCCAGAAGGGAGCTCGCTCCAGGATCTTGGTCTCCAGCAGGAAAGGGCAGTGCACAGGTCGGAAGGCCACAGGGTCACTCTTGGGATGGCCACCGCTATGCTCAGGAATAAAGGGGCCATAGCGAGGTGGGCATGCTGGCCCGCAAAAAGCTAGTGGATGGGCCAGCATCGCCTCTTTCCAGCGCAGTCCTTCCTTGCTGCCCAGCCAGCTGGCCTTCTTCTCCCCATTCCGGGGGCCCTCACCCTCCACCAGTGGGAGCGTGTCCTTGGGGCCCTGGGGGAAGCCAGGAGGAAACCAGGAGTCTGGGGTACTCAGGATGCCCCTCCAGAAGGGAGCGGGCTCTCCCAGGCACAGTGCCCCACGGCGCAGGCTATCCCGCGGTGGAGTACCAGGCTCCTGTCCCACGATGCCGTTCTCAGGGGCTGTCTTCTCCCAGGCTGGGGTGTCCTTCAGGAAGCTGGGCGTGCTCTCCATCACTCTCCTGCCCTCATGGGGCTCTCTCAGGGAGGTCCCTAAAGCATTATCACCAAAGCATGAGTTCCTTGGGCACAAGCCCCAAGCAATTTACCACTGGCACAGAGCAGGCACCGCCCTGGCAGCACCGAAGTGGCTCAGACCAGTAAGGCAAGTACCAGTCCACAGCTGGGCACCATGCAACCTACCATGTGTGGCCTGAAGGATCATGTCTGGGTGCGATGCCCCAGCATGGGGAGCTCACTCCTTCCCCCAAATTCTGGTCCCCACCTGAATTTGAGGGGCCAAGTTCAGCAGAAACTACCATTTCTAGGGTGACGTGTTCTGGCCTCACAGAGCCAGAAATCTGATCATGAGCCCTGGAGAAGAACAGGGAGCAAGAACCCAAAAGTTCAACTCTGTGGAAGGCAGGAGGACAGACCATCGTCACCTGCTGTGTGACCTTGGGCAAGTCTTGTTGTTCCTCTAAGCCTCAGCATGCCCTGGGATAAAATGGGGCTTAGGTTTCAGGGAACTCTTCCCAAACTGCAGCTTGTGGTTTTGGGGGTGCTGCTTGCCAGCCTCCGCCTCCAGCCCCAGCTAGACAGGACTGGGACTCGGTAGACTGGAGTCACTGGGAAGGGCAGGTAGCCAGGGCTGCTCGCTGCAGTCTCCCTCCACCTGGGCAGCCCTGAATCTGCCTTCCGAGGCTCCAGTTTCTTGGCTTTCTCCAGCAGAGCCCCAGGGCCACTGCCTGGTGGCTAGGATCTGTGGTGGCTGGGCTGGGGAAGAGTGAGCCAGCAGAAGATAGGGGATTAAGAGGTTGCGGCAGGGCTGGTTAAAGCTGCCCTAGCTCAGCCAGCAAGGCCAGCGCCGGGGTGCCGCTGGTAACTGCAGCCTGGCAGGGGGGAGGGAAAGAGGCGGGGAAAGCGGGCTGGGCCCCAGAGAGAGAGGCAAGGGAGGGAAAATTGAACGTGTGTGCGAGGGACCAGGATGACAGGTGGCACCAGAGCGGCAGCACTCTCTTAGCGCAATTCTTTCGGCCGGCGGGTGGAAGCCCAGCAAGGGAGATGAGGACCGGAGGCACAGGGCGCCTGGGCTCTCCGGAGCCGCCGCTCCCATCGGCCCAGCCCCTAACAGGGAGCATCCTAACTTTTCGATGTGTGGCCCGGCCCAGAGGGGCACGGAAAACCCATTCCCTGCGTGCGCCCCGGGCTCGGATCGGAATTCCCCCGCCGGGAGAGTACCCGGACATTAGGATGCCGCGGTGCCCCCCTGGCGCCCCCTCTCGGCGCTTACCTGGGCTTCACGGACAGGGCGCGGCGCGGGCGGCGGCGCTCCTGTTGGCCGGCGCCGGGCACCCGCTCCCCATGGGCCGGCTCGGGGCCTCCCGGCCGACGGGCGAAGACGCGTTCTCCGCTCTCTGCTCAGCGCGCTCGCGCTCTCTTTCCCCCCGGGCGGCGGGGGCGCTCTAGGGCCGCAGGTTGGAGGGGTCGGACTCCGGGATCTGCAGGATGCGGCACACGGCGCGGATCGGCCGCACCAGCTTCTGGGCCGAGGCCGTGGGTTGCGCCATGGGACGCCGAGACTCCGTGCTGCGCCTTGGGGAGGGCCGGGCCGGGGCTAGGGAGCGGGTGCCCCCGGAGGGAGAGAAGGAGCTGGGCCGGGGGGAACGCGCGCCCCGGGTCGGAGATGGCCGAGTTGGGGGAAAGGTCGAGGGGCTGGGGAAGGGGGTCGTGCCTGGAAGGGGAGGCCGATCCCGTGACCCAGGAGAGAGGCACCAGTGAGGGCGCAGCACCGCGCAGCGCGGCTAATGGAGGGAGAGCGCGGCGGAGAGCGCAGCAGGACCTCTGATCGCCATCGCCAGACGCGCAACTGAGAGTGGGGAAGCTGCTCCGCCGGTTTCCTCCTCCAGCACCCTGCGGGAAACAGGAGCCCGTGATTCGGCGGCCCCGCCTGGGCCTGCCCCCTCCTGAGCCCCGGGGGCTTCCGCCAACGCCCCGGCGATGCCACCGGCTGCGCACGGGGAGAATGAGCCCTTTGTTCCCCCCTCCCCCCGCGGCACCCGGGCGCCTGCCGAGAGAGGCTCCCCCGGGGCAGCGTGCCAGCTTCCCAGCCGCCCCACCCTCCCGTGGGCCCGGCCCCGGAGCCTGGCAGGCGGGCAGCACCCCCACTATAGGTGCCAAGCCCGGGAACTGGAGCAAAGGGCGGGAGGGGCCGGACCAGGCCACGGTGGGGCGGGGTGCCCCCCGGGGTGTTTGGGCGGGGCGGCTGGGAGGGGGCAGTGCCAGAGCTGGCAGGGGCAGTCGGGTTCTCACGGGTCAGCGATGGGCGCTCCGACCCACGCCAGCAGGGCCTGTGCCTGCTGGACCACTCTCTCCCGGTCCTCTCCAGCTCTGGCACGTGGGCACACCCCTCTGGTTGGTGTTGCTCTACCTCATCCTCACCTGGCCAAGCTACTCTTCACTGTCCCCCACCCAAGCCCCCTCCCAAGGCCCAAATGGCACAAAGTGCTGTCCTTAGAAGTCAGAGAGGGACTGATATCTAGTCTAAGAGCCGTGGTTTCACCAAGTGCCCAGAGAAGTGATGGACCAGAGAGGCTCCATCACACCAGGCACTCGGGTTTGTAGGGTCAGCCGCATCCCCGGTGTTCCTAGTGCTCCCAGGCCTGGTGCTGGAGAGGAGCCTATGGGAGTGGCTCCTGGGAGGGAGCAGCGAGTAGGAGAGGAAATGGGCAAACAGGGCACCCTCCACCCGAGGAAGCATCCCGGCTCCTCTGCGGGGGTGGTTCCAGAGCACAGACACAAACAGACAGATTCAAACACACACAGACAGATTCAGACACACACAGAAACCCACACGCCCAACGGGCGCTTCCCTTCCCCGCAGGCACCCACCTCCTGCCCCTGGACTCCCCTGCCTATGGAAGCCATCCTCAGCCTGCCTTCACCCACCCTGAAACAGAGGGGACACCCCCATCCCACTCCCCTGTCCCATGGAAGGGATGAGTTCTCGAGGCCTCTAGCCTGCTCCTAGGTTATAACACCACCATGGCTGGACAGGGGAGCCATGGGGAGCTCAGAACCTTCTTCTTAAGAGACTGGAGCAGAGGCAGGGAGCCTTTCACCAGTTGCAGAGAAGAGGAAGGGTCCTTGGGAGAGGGGATCCGGGGTGAGGGCACTAGACAGGACTTGGGCCATGTCTGCATGGATTCCCCAGCCCCTTGCCACCCCCAGAGGCTGGTTCTGTGGCAGAGTGAGCTGGTAGGGGTTGTTTACATGTCTGAGTTATTCTCACTCCCTCCTTCCCCAGCTCCCCTGGGGGCGGCCAGACCTAAGTGTGCCAGGGGAGTCGATGGCGGAGGGTCTAACAGGGACTAGGACCCAAGGCCCTGCACTTGGCGTCCTGCTTCCAGATTGGCTCCAGGTTGAAATGGTGGGCTGAGGTGCCTGTGGTCTGTCCCTCTGGCCTGCCTCCTCAGAAGCGGAGGCTTGTGGGAGAACCCGGGGGAGAGAGCTGTGGCTTGGGGCCTGGAAGAGTCCAGAGTGGGAGCTTGGGCTGTCCAGAGCCCTGAGGGCTTGTTGGCTTGGGCTCTCATCCCCAAAGGGGATGGGACTGTCCTGGGGGATCAGAACAGATACGCCCCCTCCCCACCCCCAGAGGCCATGTCTGTCTTGTCAGGTCACAGTCCTTGGACTGGACCAGGGCTCTCGGGCCGGCTCCTGGCATGCCCAGGGGCTGATGGGAGTGGGGCTGGGGGAAGGACCCCTTTTCCCACCCCCACCCAGGTCCCCATCCTGCCTCAGAGTCCATGCCACAGGCCACAGTCCTTGTGCCTGCCTGTCCTGAGCCTGAGGATGGAGCAGAGCTGGGGAGCCACAAAAAGACACAAACACAGAAGGAGAGCGACCCAGCACATGCACCGTGGACCTCGGCAAGCTGACCAGCTCCCCCAGACACCCGTGGGCCCAGCCCCAGCCCACACCGACCCCTCGCGCACTGACAGTCACGCTGACACACACACTGCTGCTGAGAGCCACCGCAGCGCCTCAGCCAGCTGCCCTTTTGCCACCCCAGAGCCCCTTACCTGGGCAAGCACAGTGCCCCTCGGGTGGAGCAGCCCCCTGCCCAGGGGTGGGCAGCAGGCAGGGCGGGGGAAGGAGCCCCGGAGAGTCAGGCCAAGCTGCCACTAATCCGGGCGGGGAGAGGGGGGGCACCCACGTCAGAGCGGGGACTGCCGGGTGGAGGGCATCTGAGGACATCCCCTCCCACACACGCGGCCGTCTGGGCACCTAGCCCTGCTTCCCCAGCCCCTCCATCCTTCAGACAGCTGAGGCCGGCCCCCCACCCCCTACCCCTGTGGCAGTGTCTGGGGTGGGGGGCCCGGGGGAGGGGGCTGCGGGAGAATTCTCCCAGGACCTGGGGGGAGGGGAAGGGGAAGGGAAGTGTGGAGATGCTCTGGGAGCCAGGAGGAAGCTCAGTGGCAGAGGCCACCCCCCTCTCACCCACCCACCCACATCCTTGACCTAATTCCTCTTCTGGGGCCCTCCTCCTTCCTCCAACACCCACCCCCCAAATGAACCTCCATTCTGCCCCAGGGCTCAGGACCTTCATGCCCAGCGACACCAGCTCTGGAGCCCAGGACCCCCGGCAGTGGGCATCCTCCTTCTGCCCAGGTTTTGACCCCCTCCCCAGCTCCTGGGTCCCCCAGGCCCTGGTGCCGGTGGGGGATGGGCGCAGAGGCTGAGTGCTCGTCCCCGCTATCCCTTGGTGGAGGACGGTGCCCACCAGGACTCCCCTGCTCAGCCTGGGCGGGGGCTGCCTGGGTGTAGAGGCCGAGCTTGCTGCAGTGACCGCTAAGACACAGCGAGTGGGCCAGTGAGCTGTGACATGGAGCAGGAAGGGGACCAGGCCACAGAGGTGCCACAGGCCAGAGGGACAGGGTGGGCTGAGGCAGGAGGTAGAAGAGCTACCTGGAAGGGCCAAGGGATGGAGGGAGGTGGGGCAGAGGGAGCAGGAGAGACCAGAATCCAGGGCCACCTGCCCCCAGAACTGGGAGGAAAGGGATGGGCCCTGGCAGCAGGCCAGGACAGGACCCAGCAGAGGGGCAGGGTGCTAAGGGGGCTGCCCTTGGTGGCTTCAGGTCCCTTCCCAGCCCCGATCCTGCCAGGCACACTGGTGGCAAGCAGACTGGGGGGTGTGGGCAGGTGAGAGTACTGACTACCGTCCCCCGAGAGCCCAGGCCAGAGGGCTGAAGGGTGGAATAGGGACCCCATCCAGGGGTGGCCGTGATGGGTGGTCCTCAAGGGGCATCTGGGCTCTGAGGGAAGCCCACCTGTACTCAGTGCCCCGAGCCTTGGTATCGCGCGTATGGCTGACCAGGAATGCCCTAGAACTTGGACTTCTCACTCCTTCCCCTCTGACCCCAGGATGTTGTATAACCCATACAACTGGAGTCAGCCATCCATCCACCTATGTCATGGAGACCCTGGTGAGCCCCAAGGTGACGTAGGACACAAAGACCAAAGCACAAGGCCACTCCCGCCCTGGAGGAGCTTATGGTCACTTACTGCATTTGTTCTTCTAGTAACACTCTTTCAGGCTGCTTAGCTGTCAGGCCCTATGCTGGGGCTGTAGGGTGACTACTAGGGAGAAGGACAGGTTAACAAATTATAAGATGTTTCTAATCCTGCCCTGGGAAAATCAGGGGGACTTCATGGAAGAGGTGATACTTGAGTGCAGAAGTCAGACAATAAGCAGCACTTCCCCACTGAATCACACACTCACAAAAATATTTCACTTCAGTTAAACCACTTGTTCTGGGCTGGGATACAGCAGTAAGATGTCTATTCTTCATGAAGTCACAACACAGTAGGGGAGAAAATACAATGTGCTCAAGGGGAAAAGAAAAGTACATGCAAGAACAGAAAGCAAGAGGTCCAGAGGAGCTAGCAAGGCAAGGCAGGGTGTGCCTGCAGAGCGCTTCCCAAGCAGGCAGGGGACAGTGGGCTGGGGAGACAGGGCACTCCAGGGGACAGTGGGCACTGGCTGGCTGTGCAGAGCCGGGACCAAGTGGAACACAGAAAGGTTCACCAAGTCTGCGGAGGGCCCGTGTGACCTGCCCACTGGGAGGAGCCTGTCCTGGGAGCAGGCAGGTGAAGCCCCAGCCCCTGAAATGCCCACACTTCGGCCTCCCCCGGCCCCCTTCTTCTGAGCCCCTGATTCCTTGGCCCCTTCACCATTTGTTCTTTGGTTTGGGTCTGCGGAGGCTGCCTCCACTTCTGCCTGCAGCAGGAGGCGTAGCCCCCAGCTCCCGGCAGCACCACCCGCTGCAGCTCTCAGACTCCCCGTTTTTCATCTGTAAAATGGGTACAGCCCCTACCCGACAGGGTGGCTGGAGCATTCAAAGAAACCATCCCTGTGAAATTCCCAGTGCAAGGTCAGGCATGCAAAACGTTCCATACACGTTAGTCTCCTTCTCCCTGCCTCCCAGGCAAGGAACAGCTCATTTACTTGGGTTCTGCATAGTGATTAAGTACATCGACTCTGGAGCCAGACGGCCTGCCTCAAAGTCCAATTCTGTCACTTACTAGCTGTGTGACCTTGGGCAAATCACTTGTCCTCTCTGTGCCTTCCCCCCCCCCATTTGTGGAATGGAGATGATAACAATGGTTCCAACCTTCTGAGAGGGCGAGGGCGAAGATTAAATTAATATGTCGGGGGCTTGAAGCAGCATCTGGTGTGCCATAGCCACACTCTAGCTGTGTGACCTTAGTCTTTGCATCCCTATCAAATCTAGCAATATGGCTGGTCCCAGGTAGAGGCTCAGTAGGGATTTTTGGAATGAGTTAATGAGGTTAGACAACACTGTGGTGCCAGGTAAGGCCACTTAGGAAGCCACTGAGCACCCACATGTGAGGAGCTAAAGCACCCCAGGAGATTAAGTGCTTTCTCCCAAATAAAACCCAGATAATCCCACACCAAGAGTTAATCCTCCTCCTCTCAGGCCATCCAAGTTCTCAGCCCTTTCCCCTGCCCCTCATCCAGCACTCTCACCCACCTCTTTGCTTACTCAAAAGCAGAAAGGAAGAGCAGGCGTGGGGGTGGACAGGGGGTGTCACAGTGGTGACACCAGGAGGGCTGTCCCAGGGATCAGAGGGGGGGCGTAGAGCCAACCCAGCCAAAGAGCCTGGTCTCAAGAGAGCAGTGGACGCTCCGGGGATGGCGGGCCACAGACCAGCGACCACAAGTAGCAGGGAGGGCCATCGGAGGAGGCCCCGCTGGAGCTCTGCATCGTCTCTGCGGACGGCCGCCAGCAGCCAGGCCCTGGCAGGGCGAGGCTCTGGCCAGGCTCCCAGCCCCGCCCTCCTTGACCTGGAAGCTGGGGGCAGCCCAGATCCCGGCAGCTGCTGCCCTCTGGTGGCCACTGCTGAGAATGCCAGCTGCCCCTGAGGTACCTGTTGATGGAACTCAGTGGCTGGGGAGCTACTGGGAGGTGATGTGGGACACCCCTACCCCAAGCTCAGGACCTAGGACTACCTCCAACACCCCCCTCGCTGCCCACTTCCCCTCCACCCCTCCACTCCCATGGCTCCTCCATGGTTGTAGCTTCTTGGCCAGGCCCAATCCTGGGCTCCTCTTTTCAGACCTCTTTAGGTCTCGCCGTCACCCAGGACTCAGAGACTCCAGAGCTCATTCATGACACCAGTGACACCTCATGACTACTTGTCAAGACAGTCTCATCTGCACTGTGTGCCCTCGGCCTCGGCCTTGACCTTGGCCGTGCCTGGCTGGGCTATATGACTTAGAGTGTGGAGGGAGGGGTGGGAGATGAATCAAGAGAAGCAGAACACCTTTAGTATTTATTTATCAAAACATTCACAAGCCTGACCTCATTCACAACACAAAACACACAGCAAGGGCACACACCCGGGGCCTGGAGCAGGCTGTCAAGTACTCTGGAGGACAGGAAGGAATGAACAGCTGGTGGGCTTTTGATTTCATCTGTAGCGGTTTTGGGGGGCTCTGGTCCCATACCTGAGAAGGCAGAGGGCGGAGGAAGGCAATAAATAGAACCCTGGGCCCAGCCAGCTCTGGCACTGTGGGTGCGTCCACAGCAGGACGCACAGCCTCTGCCCTGGCTCTAAGGCAAACGCAGCAGCCAGGAGGGGTGGGACCCAGGTAGCCGGTGCAGGCCAGCCAGTGTGCAGCCAAAGGAGCCCTGCACCTAGCCCGGCACCTGCAGGGCCTGAGGTAAGACTGGGCTGACTCCGCAGATCCTAGCTGTCCATGTCTGAGGGCACAGTCTTTTTCCGTGTTCGGACCTTCAGGGAGCGTGAGGTGCCCTGGAGAGAGAGCAGGTATACTGTGGGAGGTGTGGGCTGCGGTGTGGCCCACCCACCACCCTTACACCCTCCTTGCCACTGACCTCCCGGGCCAGCGGCTTCCTCTTGACCACACGCAGGCTCTGGCTTCGGCTCAGAGGCTTCTCCCGGGGCCGTGCTGGTGGCTGGGGGACTACCTCGGTATCCGACCAACCCCCCTCCTCTGTGTCACTGTCCTGCAGGCCCCCTGCCCGGTACCCTGTAGAGAGGGGGGAAACAAGCCTGGCCATTTACACAGTCTGAAGGCCTGGGACCAAGCCAGAAGTCCCTAGCCCTGGGGAGGCCATCACTCTCGAATGACTCCCAGTCCCTCTGTTTACTCACCAATGGGTGGCCTCCGGCGGGGTACCTGATCTTCCAGGTAGAGGGGGTCCTGGTAGGTAGGGGCAGGGGTGTCAGGGATGGAGCGCAGGTCCTGCATGGAAAAGCTCCGCAGGCGACCGGCCAGTGCGCCCTGACTCTGTGAGGGAGGAGGAGGCACTGCGTCACCTGCAAAGGTGGGGGCTCTGGGGGGAAGGGGCTTCAGTAGGGAAGTCACCCAAGGATGTGAAGGGCCACCCTGCAGCTAATCCCTGGGGCACAGGGCTCGGAACTGAAAGCAACTCAGCAGCCTTCAGCCCCTGGCCACTTGGCAGAAACAGGAAACTAAGGCCACAGGCACAGGAGCAGTCATTCCTGCTCCTTCAGCCAGGAAGGTCTGCGCTTCCAGCTCCTGCTCCTGCACCTCCACCTGACCTGGCACCCTAGCCCTAGCCCTAACTGCCACCTCTCGCCTCCCTGGCAGAAAGCTGGATTGGGTGGGGCAGGGGGCAGGGGGCTGGGGCCCACAGCACCTTGGTGGCAGCCTGTACAGCAGCTGATGCAGCAATGTTGAGGCTGCGCTTCCCAAGGCTGAGCACTGTCTCGTAGCTGCGCTCTTTGGCCTGAACAATGTACGTGTCGATCTCCTGCAGAGCCGGGGGAGGAGAGCTCAGGAGGACAGCCAGAGGAGTCTCTCTGCCTCCACAGACTAAGCCACCAGTGATTGTCATACCTTCCGGTCACCCTGACCCAGTATGCGCAGTCACAAAGGCCCAGAATGCACCAAGAACGGGGTTTCCCACCCATTTACCCCCCCCACACACACACCTCAATGAGGGGCCATTCCCCACCCCCAAGCCAATTTCCAGCTGGCACTTCACACCACTGGTCATTCACTGCACCCATATGGTCAGCCCAGCAGACAAGGAGGCCAGGCCTTGTCAGGATCCCAAAGTCAAACAGCCGCAGCCCTGATGTTGGAACCCAGGTGTCCCTGCATCCTGAAGCGGGGTTCGGGGTTCTCTCTCCCCACATCCACCTCTAGGTCTCCCTCTCTACCTCCCCCAGGGTACCTTCTCATGACGGGATAGGGACGGGTGGACGAACTTTCGGTAAAGTAGGCTGGCCCCCTTCGTGTAGGGCGAAAGCAGCCACAGAACAAAGGCCATCTTGATCTCATAATAGAAAGGGAACCTGCCAGAGCACAGAGGGGCAAGATGAGCCCAGCAGCCAGGCCAAGGGTGGGACACCCCTGCCCCGTGGCCCACTAACCCCTGTGCCCAGACCAGGAGATAAAGATGTCTGTGAAGGTCTCGGCTGCCATGAAGATTGCAAAGATGATCCAGTACATCATCCACCGAACCTGTGGGACACAGAGCACAGAGGTCAGCCTCAGAGCCTGTGGTGCCAACACCGCCCCTGGCTGGCCCAGCCCAGAGATTCCAGAGAGCCTGTCCAGCTGCATTGTTGCATTCCCCCAAGCCTGGCTAGACAGGAGCCTCTGCGAAGCTGCCACTCATTCCTGTGCCCACCCCAGTGCATTTCACCCACTGGCACTTCCACAGCCACCCAATGGCCTGCCCTCCTTCCACACCCCTTCAACAGGCCCATTCCTTCCTTCGCCACTCCACTCAGGATGTGCAACACTAGTGGGCCCTGGGAAAAGTGGCAGGCCAGCTCAGACCCTCCACACTCAACAAGCCCCACCACACCCCCCAGTCCCCCTTAGGGCTGTCATCCCACCCCACCTTAGCTAAGCCCTCCTGCCACCTCTCATGCTCACATATTCACGAATGTTCTTGGTCTTCACGGCCTTGTAGGACGCATAAGCTGGATACAGCATCCCAAACACCAGTCTGGAAGAGCAGCCAGGGGAGTGTGAGGGGCAGCATGCTCCCCCTGTACCCTGACAGGTGGCTGCCTCCCCCTACTGGAGTGCCAGGGGCAGGACCAGCCCTGTTTTTCCCGCTTGGCTTGCACAACCCGCAGTGCCTGAGTCAGTGCCCTGGAGGCCACCTCTCCACCCTGCTGTTTACAAACATCCCAAGCCTGCCCAGGCCTGCACCTGTGGCCCATGGGTACATGATGGAGAGAGAACACAGCTACCAGACAAGGTGGGCGAGAGCATCAGGCTGTCCCCTCCCCTGGATATGCAATCAGGCCCAGAGCCACCAGACCTGGCACTGCCAGGCTGCAGACAGGGATATTTGAGCCAGGCGCTGGAGTACTCAGAGGTTAAGGGTAAGACTGAGTGAGGAGGCTGAGGCAAAGTTGGTCAGTCACGTGACTGTTCATATGGCAAGCAGGCCCTTGGATTCCCCACCCTCAGTGTGCCTATTACCTTGCTTCTGCCCTGGCTGGGATCTGCCTGTGGCCCTCAGCCCCAGGCATCTGTCTGCAGAATGTGTTTGCGAGCATGTGGGTAGGGTTGCTTTAGGTCAAGGATTCTGGGGAGGAGTGGGTCAAGGACGCGGTGCCCAGGTGCCCCGTGCAGGCCCGCAGGTCCGTTAACCTTTGCGGTGTGGGGGGAGGTGTGAGGAAGCTCAGGAAGTTCCGTCTCCACCAGCTTCCACCCCAGGGGCAGGCTGACACCCGGGGAAAGAAGGAGTCTGAGAGTGGCCATACTCACACCACCAGGCGACAGATCATCCAGGACACCATCCTGACAGCCTTGGGGACGAGGGGAGGGCCCCCAAAAGACGCCCTGGAGGGCGCTCACGCGGGGGCTGGGACGGGGGCTCAGTGGTGGTGCAGGAACCCGAGGGTCGGTCCCGCTGTCCCCTGGCAAAGTGGGGCCCGCCGCCCACTGACTCCGACCCGGCGGTGCGGAGACCCAGGAGAACCCGGAGACCAGCGGGCTGGGAGGCGGTGGGCAGGGAGGAAGCGGCTGGGAGCGGGCACCGCGGGCGCGCTCCTCCGCCCAGCCGCGCGGCGCTGCAGTTGCGGCTCGGACCAGCTCAGTCGCCGAGAACCCGGTGTTCGGCCCTTGCTGGGCGCCGCTGCTGGTCCGCGGCCCGGGTGCCGGGTCTCGGTCTACGCTCTTGCGGGTCGCCGCGGTACCAGCGCGGTAGGCAGACGGCACCGGCCTCCGGGGCGGAGTCTGCAACTCACTTGAAAGTTGCACGGAACTGGGTCCTGCCCAACCCCAGGGCTCCGGCGCGGGGCGCAGGCGCAGTGCGGCCCCGGAGGGGCGGAGCCAGGTCAGGGAGTTGAGAGGCCGGCCCCTTAAAGGGCGATGCTCAGCCGGACTCGAGGGTGGGGCCGCAGGGTAGAGCAGCGCTCCAGTTGGGAAGATTAGGCGGTGGGAAGGTGCCACAGAAAGCGGGAGAGACAAAGAAAACCTGGCCTCCAGAGTTCTCACGGCTCTTCACTAGCTTCTCCCAATGTACTTCTTTCTCGCCTCATTTTTTCCCCTCTGTAAAATGGGATAGGGCATGAAATGTGTGGGGTCCACCCTGGAAGCCCAGGCACAAGCTGGCAGCAAACTTGGTTGAGCGCAAGCAAGTTCCAGTGTTACACCACTGTAGACCGAAGTCAGTAAGCACCGCAATCTGAGGGAGTCACCCCCCAAGGATCCACTTCTCTCTGGGGCATCTTTCCACGGCTTACACACCTGGACACGACTTTAATGTACCTTCTTCACTAGAAGTTTGAAATCACATCTGTTCCTCTGAGTCAGGAATACAGATATCCCTAGGAACACCACAGCATCCACGCTTGCGGTTTTGTACTGCTTTTATGTCCACGAAGTCTTAGTTTTTGCAAAGATCCCCTTTACCATCTGGGAAATATGCTTGGTGAAGTCATTTGGCCACTGTCACCCAGTGGTGTTTGCTACTGGCTAATGCTAATTATATGGCCTGGTTAGTCTTCGGAGGGATCAGCGGTGGCCAGTTGTGAGTGGCCCTGGAGGGGGACAGGGAACTGGAGAAGTTCCTCTGGGAGAGAGGAGGACATCGACTTTGCTGCCTTTACACCTTCCCACGAGGGATTTCATTCTTTATGATAATACCTGCTTCTTGCCTGAGCCGCTCCTTCTGAAAATGGGAAGAACAGTGTCCCCCTGTGCTGTGCTGAGGAGAGGGTGAGCGCAGAGCTGCCCCGGGGCCATGGGAGCAGAAACACATACCACTTTTTATTAGAGCCATAGTTAACACCCACCACCTATGAAAAGGATGGGGTAGGTAATGATGGGAGTCAGGGAAAGGAGGCTTTTGGGGGATAAATAAACACACAGTGATTATATGGTCTTAATTATTATCATCAATTTTATTGGTATTGCTGAGTGTGAGAGCCAGTAGTGAAACCAGCCCACAGGAGAAACTCTCCCGAGGCGGATGCCTTCCTCATGTTCACCCACCCCAGCCCCATCCCATGCTGGAGGAACAAGAAACACCAGGGATCCCATCAGGAAGGTCCCAGCCACCATCCAGCTAGAGGCACAGACATGGTTCTTAGGAGAAAAGTATCCCTGGTCTCCTTGAAGGAGGAAGGATGTGATTGATGGTAAAGGGGATCAGCTGGGAAACAGTAGGGAAGGGACATCCATTCCTCAGGAGGCACATGCGAATCCAGTCCTTTGGTACATCTTCCCCACTGGCTGCCTTCAGGAGCCCCACGCCTGAGCTCATCCACTAAGAACAGCTCTCCTGGCCCATCCACGTCCACCTAGCTGGGATGGTCTCTTACGTAGCGACTCCTGGTCCCAATGTTTGTGCTTGGGAGATCTCCAGGACTCTGATTTATGTGGCCTTTGGTCCTGAGCTATTGACACAGTCACCCAGTTAAACTGGGTTGCTAAGCAGCTCTCTGGACACATGAATGAGCCCCAGGGCAGGTGACCAAGCAGCCATGCAGCAAAAAGCTGGGCATTCAGGGACCAAGGGAGAGAAATGTCTCCCATCCTTGGGGGAGCTCTCCCCTGGAGAGAGCGGCTGTCACAAATGATGTTTACCTTTCAGCTGGGCAACGCAATGTCAACGCGTCTGGAAGACTCAACTCACTGTCCCTGGCAACCTCTCCCAGGCACAGGCTAAGGGCCCATTTCCCATTTGGAAAAGCAGGACAAGCAATCCCGAGATGATGAGGTTTGGGAACTCTAGGGTGCCTGCTTAGCCAAGAGCACATGAATGAGGTTTGAGGAGGTAGAAACCCAGACCAGTCATCCATAGTGGGTGTGGCCAGGAACAGGGTAGCTGGGCATCTGAAGTCAAAGGTCAGATGTAGGGTGCAGGGGTTTTCTCCAAAGATATATTGCCTATCACACACAGCCTGCCTCTCAGAGTCACCTGTGTATCTCATACATTCCCACAGACCAATACAGATCACAGTTATGTGCCACATACTCTATTCAAAGAGCCTTATATATCTTAATGTATATAATGCATTTAAATTTTATCATAGATGACCCTGTCAGGTATATATCATGACTATACCTATTTTATAGATGAGGAGACTGAGACACATAGGCAAAGTCACATGGCTGAGTGTTACCAGCTGCTTTTGCTCAGCTAGTAACAATGTCAAATGGCCACATCAGGATTCCAAAAAGTAAGTCTCCCCACACCTCGTCCCATACTCCCCCAAGGATGGAAGATATTTCTCTCCCTTGGTCCCTGAATGCCCAGCTTTTTGCTGCATGGTTTGAGCCCAGGGGCACTCTACTACTGAGTAGTAAATACAGCCCAGCCCTTTTTATTTTTTATTTTATTTTGAGACAGTCTTGCTAAGTTGCTAAGACTGGCCTTGACCTTGACCAAAGCCTCCTGCCCCAGCCTCCTGAGTCACTGGGATTACAGGCATGTGCCCCTGCACTTGGCTGGAAGTTTTCTCATCTGCTTTGCAAAAGGAGAAGTTGCTCAGGGAAGCCAATTGACTTGCTTGAAATCTCACACCAAGCAGAGGAACGGAGTCCAAATTCACACATGTGGGATCCTGATGGCAGAACCCAGGGGACGTTCTGCCGGACGACACCATCCACAGTTGCATGGTTCCCTGCTATCTGGGAGCTCTGGGAGCTCCAGACCTGGTGTCCATCCCCCGTGTCCACAAGTATTCCCTGGAGTGATCAGTTAGGGGGTGGATGACCTGTGACACATTTGTGAAATATGTGACACATAAGAGACCAAAGGAGCCCTGGATAGCTAATGAGGTCCTGCAGAAGGGAAGTGGCCTATCCAGGGTGACACAGCTTGGTACCCGCTGCCCGAGGAGATATTGTCTCCCCCAGGTTCTATCCCCTCCTGTCTATTATCCTGACATGGACCCACACAAGGCAGCAAAAGGCATCCATTCACTAAAGACCGTAAGTGGCAAGGAGGTGACAAGGAGAAGGGGGGCCCTGTCATTCACCACCGCCATTTTGCCATACCCAGTGTGCTGTCTTCAAGACCCCCATCTTCCTAGTGCCCTCAGCGTCACGTCCAGCCTAGCCCCATCTAACTCGTCCCTTACTCCCGCTTTGTCATGGGCTCTCCACTCCATTCTCAGACATGGAGAGAAGCACTGACTGCCCACAGAGCCCTGGGTGTGTCAGTCAAGACGAGGTCCCAGAGGACCTCAGTGTCACCAGAACAGGGGGTCACGGAAGGTTCTTGGTCCGGGCATGACATGATGGAAGGATGCTTTAGGGGGCTGGACTGAGGATGCGAGAAGTGGGTGGGCAGGGAGGCGTGTAAGGGCCTGTGACAGCATCGAGGAGGGCTGGCTTGACCAAGGTGGTAGCCGAGAAAGGAAAACAAGTGGTGCCCATCTGAAGATTCTTGGGGACAAAGCATGGAGAGGAGATTTGGAGATTAAATAATAAGAGAAGAGAGTGATGTTACTAGGACTCCAGGATGCTTCACGTCGGGTGGAGGGTGGCGATAAAGGACATTGCTCATAGAGGAGTTGGGGCCAGCGGGTGGTGAGACGGACAGACTGCTGAGCTACTCTTTGCCATCATATGTCTGACCTCTGACAGAGGGACACACTCAAGTCTCGGTGAGTCCCAAGCCTATAATCTCCAGGAAGGAACATTGGCTGTGAGTCAGCCCAGGTGGAGGAGATTCGTCACCTTGGCCCAGCACCTGAGTGTCATGGCCATGAACTCCTGACCCTAGCACCAGCTGACCTTGGGGGTCCACTTCTCTGAGGGAGGGGAGCCAGGAGAGAGAGGGTCTGGAAGCCAATGCAGACTCCTGGGTGAAGCAGGGACAGATAGCCCAGCCCTGGCTCTGTTCCCAATGAAACACCTTGATGACATCTGAGAGCTGGCAATGGGGTGGAACTTTTTATTTGAAGCAAGTGAATCATAGCATTGCCCCCAATTGCCCCGGGCATCCTGCCACAAGGAGTCCCAGCAATCTGGACACTCCCCACCTCCACCAGCCTCGCTCACAGAGCTCTGTTCCCAGTGCACGGCAGAGGGCAGCAGAAGCCTGGCTCCCGGGCAACCTGAGCAGGCCCCTCACACGCCCACTGCTTGCCTTCACCGAGAGGCAGTGGTCCTGGGGTATGCCTGTGTGAGTGGAGGGGTGCCAGGGCCCCGAGATGCTCGAAGCCAGGATCCATTCCTGGCACTTGCACAGGTGGCTCAGGTGCCCCAGCTTCTCTGGCTCGGCCAGCTCTTACACGCCCCAAGGAGCAATCGCAGTACAGATCCACATTCCAAAGATGGGGAGAGCGGAGCGAGGTCCGAGCCTGAGGAAGCAACAGCTACAGAGGGAAGAGCAGAAACAAAACTTTCATCTCAGCGGTTTCCAGTCCCCAGGTGAGCTGGCATTCAGGTCACAGAAGGAAACTCCAAGATGAGGGTAGATGGCACTGGGAAGAACCCAGGGGTGACTGCCGCTGCTGCTGTTATTGCTTTGGGGCAGAGGAGCTTCATCCTCAGGAGGCCACACCAGAATCACAGGCTCGCCACCATTCTTTTCCTTTCCAGCCTCAAGGTGGGCACACTTGGGTGAGCAGAGGAGGAGCAGTGACGTGGGCCCCTCTAAGAAGAGTGCCAAGGAAGGAACAGAGGTGAGCCCCTCGGGCAGCGCGAGTCCGCATATGTGCGCACGCACCTGGACATGTGTCTATATGGAAGTGGGAGTGTGTGACCAAGTGTGTCTGCAGGTGTCCAGTATGCATGCAGAAGGGGCCCAGCATGGGTGGATGCACCTGGAAGAGTGACAGCTGTGGCCAGGGTTGCAACACAGAGTTGGAGCAGGAAAACAAACACTTGGAGCACCCACGGGAAGGCTAAGCAGAAGAACAAGAGGGTGTTCTCCTCCACATGCCCCACCCACCAATCATGTGCATGAGAAAGGGGGTGTGGCCTCTGGGTGGGGGAGCCACATGTGCACACATACTAGAGGACCTGGGTGCTGGGGTGCCTGGTGTATACATAGGTGCTCGTGCTGACTACATTGACGAGGAAAGGCTTCCCCGGGCTAGTCCATGATGTGTGCCTGGGCTCACGAGTGTGTATGTGTGTGTGTGTGTGTGTGTGTGTAAGGGCACAAAAGCAGGTTGGCTGCATGTGACTTCACAGGCACATGTGCTGCTCATAGAGGCCCCCACCCAGCCTCTAGCGCCACCCTAAGGAACCCGGAGGCCTGGGTACCCCTCTAGGCACTGAGATCCACCACGACGTGTCGGTACACCAGTGTTTGTCCCTTAAAGCTGGGGGCCAGGAGCAGCTGAGCATCCCCAGCAGGCATGTAGCAGAAGGCCCGGGGGGCCTGCACAGCCAGCTCCTGGAACCGCACAAACTTCTGTCTTCCCTCGTCCCACTGGTAGATCTGGGTGAAGGAGAAGTCGCTGCCCAGTGCCAGGTAGCGCCGGCCGCCCACCAAGAAAGGCTGCAGGGCCAGCGAGCCCCGGGAGGGCAGGGCCTGCACCTCAGAGAAGCGGGTGCCCTCCCAGCGCAGGATCTTGGAGTCACCAATGTAGCGGCTGAGGCACAGGTAGCTGTCGCGGCCGGCACGAAAGTGTTTTACAGCCTGGGCATCAGGCACCTGAGTCACTTCTCCCTGGGCCACAAACTGCTTCTGAGTACGACTCCATTGGTAGATGACAGGTGCCTGGGAGCTGCTAGACACAATCAGCCGTGGCTTGCCCTCGCCATCCACAAACTCTAGGTCAGTGTCCCGGTGCCAGGCGTGCAGGGCCTGGTGGGAGTAGAAGCCATTCTGGTTCCAACGGTAGAGGCTGGTGGCACCTGCCTTGGAGCTGTCAGCCACAGCGAAGTACCAGTCCCCATCTATGCGGAAGGCCTCCAGGTCATTGGGCTTGCGCACTCGCTGGGGATCTATGTCCTGCAGCTTGGTGAAACGTGTGGTGTTGGGATCCCAGTGGTAAATGTAAGAGCCACCAAACAGCTGGGCCACAACCACATACAGCTGGCTGTCCACCACCATTGGCTTGCAGTGTACAGCTGAGGGGGCTGTCAGGACAGAGGGAGGCGAGGTCAGACAGTGTCAGGTAGACCCTGCAGCTCCCACTCCATCTTGCTCATCAAGGAAGACCAGTCCCCACAACTCCGGGCCAGTGCTGCCACCCTCCTGGAATCATCCACCCAGGGCTCAGGGCTTGCTCATTTCTGATTGTCCACAGCCAATTGTCAGCTTTAGTATTGCCCTTGCTCCACCCTTGCCCTCAAGGTTCAAATACAAGCCAACACTGAGCACAAAACAGGTGTCCCTAGATATTGATCGAGTATTTAACCACATGTCAATTTCTGAATTATTACTGCGTGTAATCACTTGCACTAAGTGTAAACACATATTACCTCCGTTAATCACACAGAAAAGGACTCTATTGTTTTGCTCATTTTACATAGAAGAAAACTGTGGCTCAGAGACAGAAAGTGAGTTACCCAAACTACCTCATTGGCAAGTGGCCAGTTGGGAGGGTGAGAAACCCTAGGTGCACCAAAAGGACCCCTTGATGTTTAGATGGTGGTGCATGAAAGCACATTCTCCCACCTTTGGAAGGGCTTTTACGTGCAGGGATGAATGCCCATGTGTGCCGTACGCACAACCAGCTCTGTCGGAGCCCTTCTCAGGCACAAAGCTCACCTGGTGTGGGGCCCCTCGTCTCCACCTCACCATCCCGGCTTCATCCACTCTCCTCCTCATCCAGACCCCACCTTTCCCTGGAGAAGCTGATGCAGGGCCTCAGACACACACTCACGTACAAAGCTGTTGCACACCTTCTTGACATTGTACACAGGGTTTCCTGCCACAACACCCTTCCTTTTTTTTTTTTTTTTCTTCTCCTAAGTATCTCTCAGCCTTCAAACCTCAGCTCCAACTTAGCAGATTCCAAAGCTGAGCTCATCAGCCTCTCCTGTCTTCTCCTCCTCTTTCCCTCTGTCTGTCCTCTCCATCCTTCAAGAGTGCTTGCCTAACATACATGAGGCTGTGGGGTCCATCCCCAGTACTAAAAAAAATTTAAAAATGAGGCAGCTTGGGCATCCCCTCTGTAAGCCTTTCTTGATTGCACAGAGCATTGTGTTTAAAGCCTCCTCTTCTCATCTGCCTCCTGTACAGATGTCCCTGTCAGAGATCATGTCTCATCTATCTCTCTACCTGCCCAGTGGAATTCAACCATGGGTCCTACTGCCATATTCCCCCAGCCGGGGCCGGCACAGCCTGGTCAGGCACAGGTACCTGGGATTCTGTCATAGTCTCGGAGCTGCCTTTCCACATAATCCCACTTCAGGATGGTGCAGGCACTGGCGCCGGGCTGGGCCAGAGCCAGATAGAGGTCGCTGGAGTAAAGGAAGGGCTCAGCTGACACTGCTGGGAAGGACAGGGTCTGGTAGAGCACAAAATCTGCAGGGACAAGAGGTGTGGGCTCAGCACCAGCGGAGGTAGCGGCCACTGGGTGGATATTGCAGGGTGGGGTGGGCTGCTCAGGTGGGGCCAGGGGCCTGCCTCCTACCAGTGGTGATGCAGTCAAATTCCCGCAGTGGCAGGTCCTGCACCTTGTGCTCCTGGAAGCGGGGTGGGCTGGCGCAGTAGATGGGAGCCACGGTGGTGTTGGTGTGTGACAGCCACTCCACCAGCCACTTCACCTTGCAGTCGCAATTGAGCGCGTTGCCCCGCAGGTCCCTGGATCATGAGAGCAGGGCAGGAGAGCACAGAGGGGACAGGCTCTGAGCTGCTCTGCCTACCCTGCCCTGTAGGCTTTCAGAAGCAGGTCTTGTCAAGGCTACTTGGGGTTGCTCACAGGCTGCTTTGCACCAGGCAGAGAGAGAGAGAGAGAGAGGCTCCCCTGGGGAGGATGCAGCCCCGTGTGCACAGGCTTGGCTGGAGGAGTGTAGGCTGTTGCAGCTCCGCTGTCCTCCTTGGCCAGGTGCCATGTGCAGTGGACAACCTGCACAATGTATATCCCATTTCTGTTCCTCCAGCCCACCCGCAATTCAGGGCTTTTCTTTTTTTGTATGAATAATGATAAATGATTGTGGCTATGCCATAGGACTTAAATGTAGACTTAAACCAAACAGACATTTTAAAAGCATATTTTGGGGGCCTGAGGATGTAACTCAGAGCACATGCCTAGCATGCATGAGGCTCTGGGTATAATTCCAAGTACTGAAACACACACACACTCTGAGTGTCTCATGTGCATTTTGAAAGGGCCCACAGGTGACTTGAGGAACCCCAATTTGGAAGGCTGCTGTCTACATCTAACTCAGCCTCACTCCTCAGCCCCCAGAACCCAAGCACTCCCAGCCTCTCGAGACCTTGTGACCAATTCTGACTCCCACACCACTCCCTCCAGGGGTGCTCCCTCTGTGGAATCCTCAGAAGAGTTTGGACTTGGGCCTTACAAGTCACTCAGGATGTCCAAGGGCCGAAAGATGTCTCTGGGCAGTGTCTGCAGGTTATTGTTGGCCAATGAGCTGCAAAAGAGATCTCTGGGTCATCTGAAAATAATGACAGAGGCCAAAGGCCAGAGAGATGCAGGGCTTTGGTCAGTGTGTGTATGCATATGGGGTACTCACAGGTGTGTCAAGGACTTGAGTCCCCTGAAGGTAAACTTGGACAGTGCCCAGATGTCATTGTTCTCAATGAAACTGGAAAAAATGAGAAATTGCCTCAGCTGCTAGTCAGGAGTCCAGACATCCCCCCATCCCCTGGGGACAGTGATTTCCCTCATCCTAATCCAGATCCCAGCTGAGACAGGCTTCCACTGAGTTCAGTGTCATTAAGCCTGTAGCAATCAGGCTGAGTGGTGCAGGCAGAGGCATGGAAATGACCCTCTGCTCGGAGAATTCACGGGCTGTGGCCTTCCACCCCCTCCAACCTTCTTGTTCCACCTCCCCTCCCAGCCCACCCAGACTGGGCTCCCTCCTTCCTTCTCCTTTCCCATCACCCCTTTTCCTCCCACACACAGGTACTGCAGGTGTGACAGTCCTGTGAAGGCGTTGTCTCCGATCAGCGTAAACTTGTTGGAGTTGAGTAACCTGGGGAGACAAAGAGGAAATTAGGGCTTCCAGGGTTGTGCCTGCTGCCCTAGCCCTCTGTCTCACCCCTGGGCTTCCCCCAAGATCTGGCAGCCTGCCCCCCCTATACCTCAGGAGCCTAGCAGAGGACCCCTGAATTACCCGCATGGCAAGACCAGGTGGGAGCCTGTTCTGAATCCAGAAGCTCTCAGGTTCCCATTTACCCCTAAAAATGGTAGAGGGGCAGAGTTCTCCTGCCAACCTGGCTCCTGGGCTGCCCTTGTGACCTCTCCTCCTTGGCTCCTCACCCTCATCCCAGTCCCCTCCAGCCCTTGATGACAGCTGTTCTGTCTTTGCTCCCTTTCAGCTTCAAGCTCTTTCTTTGAACTCCAATCCCTGTCTCTAAGATGCCGACCCCCAGTGTCCACTCTGGCATTGGCTCAAGCTATTTCACCCAGTTCCCTCAGGACTCCAGAGGAGCTAAGTCCCTGCCCCAAACCCCACTTTCTTGGCTTCGGCCTGTCCTTAGTCTTCTTTCTACCTGCTGCTCTGACTCATGACCCCAGACTGCTCCACCTTTTGTGGCCTATCCTACAGGAGCAAAAGGACACCTGTATCCTCATCCCCAAAGGCTGCACCGCCCACTCTCCCTCATCCCAGCCCAGCATCTGTCCTCTTCTACTGTGCCCCCGCCCGCCCTTCCGCAAGGCCCTGTCCATACAAGAACTGCAGCAACGGCAGGTGAGAGAAGGCTCCATCCTGGATCTCTGAGAAGGCAGCATTCACGAGGGTCCTGTAGGGGACACTTTAGTCATTACTGTGGCGAGTCTGCAGGGCCCATGAAGGTGGATAGAGCAGTGGCTTCTCTTCTCATGGGCCCTGCTCCCACCACCTGCATCTGTCCTTCCCTTTACCTCCCAAACTCACTGCCCTCCTTCTCCATGCTCCTCCCCCACTACCTTCAGGAGCGCGGGTGACCCTAGGTTCACCTTCGCTCTCAGCCAAGAGAAGGTTCCATTACCTGCACCATCCTCATCATCCAAACACCCCCAGTGCTGGTGCTGTGGAGGGATGGGGTGCTGCGATGGGGGAGGGGCCTGGCATCCTGCTCTCAAGGACTGGCAGCTTCTCCAGTCCCACAGGCAAGAGAGGCGGGGGGGGGGGGGAAGCCTTGGGGCCAGTTGCTGCAAGTGAGGCTGGCCCAGCTGGGTGCACAGCAGCTGGCCTGGTGGTGTGCCAGGGTACCCCAGGGCACTCTCACTTGTCATCCCTCCCCCTGCTGACATCCCTCCTCCCCCTTTTCTGCCTTTGGTGTAACACCACAGTCAGGGGCCTACGTGCTCATCTAAATATCCCTTCCACCAAGTCTAAAGCCGTGCACACAGTAAGTCTCACTGCTACTGGTGGTGGTGATGATTCACCCTTGACCATAAACTCCTGCTTTCTTCATCCATGGCTGCTGAGGCTGCAAGACTGCAGAGCTCTGTACCGCTGGGCCTGGAAGCCCCAGCCCTGCGGACCCCTGGGGTCCTCCTGATCTTTACACTCTGAAGAGCAAAGCAGGATTTCCCCCATCCACTTCCAGAGAACCGGTCCTTGCCCTCCTGCTCCCATCCCCAACCCCAAGGACAGGTGGACACTCACAGGGAGATGACCTCGGAGGGCAGGTTCCTGGGCACTGCCTTAGAGTCCACACAGAAGGCGGTGTCCCTGGTGCAGGAGCAGCTGGGTGGGCAGGGGGGCGTCTTGGGGGGCCTCTTGGCACTGACTTGCAGCATTAGGCAGAAGCCAAGCGTGGACAGCGCCAGCAGCCCAGGCCCAGGGCCCCGCCTGGCCCGCAGCCCCGCCATGCCGCCTGCAGGTTCTCCCTCCAGCTACCCCCCTCCGGCGCCCCACGGCTCCCTGCAGGTTGTGCCACCCGGGCGGGCTGTCACCTCGAGCTACCGCAGCTCGGGCCGCCTGCCCACTAGGCGCAGCGGACTCGTCCTGCCCTGGGGCGCCGGCTGCGGTACCCTCCCCTGCTCGCTCCCGCGAGCTGGCTCGGGAGCGCTGCGCGGAACCCTTAGCTGCAACCGAGGGCTGCCGAGGCTGGGTGGATGCGGACTGCGGCGGGTGGCGGGGGCGCGCGCGGGGGCGGAGCGGGGAGGCCTGAGCCTGGGAGCAGCGGAAAGAAGGAGTGGTTGCACCCGGTGGCGGTGTGCCCTATAGGGCTCTTTGCGGCCATCTGCCTGGATCTGGTCCCTGGTTTCTGTGTGTGAGTGCATGTGTGTGAGCGTATACATGCGCATTGTGCGTTGGGGAGACTGTGTACACACCTGTCTCTGCATGGGGTGCAAGGATCCATGTGCCTGGGTGTATCTGCGTGTGTGTCTTGGCTGTGAGGGGACATACAGTTCAGGAGCATGTCATAAGTGACACATGTACATCTAGGTTGGCATGAGAGATTAGAAGCTCAAGAGTGCTTGTATATGTACTCGTGTTTCCCCACGCCACCGTATAGATTGCCTTTGAGTCTGGGCTGCAAGGGGGAAATGTAGCCACTGGAGCTGGAGTGGGAAGGAGTAGAATTCTGGAACATTTCTCACTGAACAACCACAGCCTATAGGAGCTGGGAAGTGCCTTGGATATGTTCCTGTCTAGCCCTTTTTTTCACAAAGGAGGAAACTGAGGCTTGGAAAGCAGCCAAGCTCCGTATCTCTACTGTGTGCTGTGTACTGGGCATAATCCTCAGCCCTCTTGAGAGAGAGGATGCTAACTCCCTTTTACAAATGAGAAAAGTGTGTCTCCAGGACCAGAAGTCCAACTTCAAAGTTCACAGCAGTCTTGTACACCATGAATTTTCAAAGGATGGCTCTCAGAGCCCACTGGTCCTTGAGAATCTTCCATCGAGTCTTTGAGATCAAAATGCTTTTAGTAGCCAGGTGTGGTGGCACACACCCCTGTAATCCCAGCAGACCTTGAAGGCTGTCAGGAGGATCACAAGTTTGATGCCAGCCCCAGCAACTTAGTGAGGCCCTGTCTCAAAATAAAAAATAAAAAGTGCTGGGGATGTGGCTCAGTGGTTAAACATCTCTGTGTTCAATCCCTGGTACCAAAACAAAACAAAACAAACAACAACAAAACCCAAACACAAACAAACAAAAATGCTTTTCTTAACAAGAAGATGTTATTTGCCTTTTTCACTTCCATGCTTTTATAGGAGTACCTGGAATTTTCCAGAAGTTACATGACATGTCTTCTATTAAGCCCTAAATTAAAGAGATTCGCAAAAATGCAAAACAGTGACACTTTTCTAAATTTTTGGCAAAAAATACAGGTATTTTCATTTAAAATGTACATGATTTGTTATAACACAAATAGGTTTGTCCTTACTATTTAAATAAGTGTTTTTAAATTCCTCAGCAAATACCAATATAGTAAATCTCAATTGATTTACTCACATAAAGCAAAAGCTCTTTGGGGTCCTCAGTACTTTTTGAGAATATTAAGGGATACTGAAACTAAAAATTTGAGCATTGCTGCTCTATACCATGACATCTCCAGAGAGGGGAGGGAGACTGAAGAGCTCATGGGTACAGGGTAAGAGAAACCTGGAAGTGAGTGCTGGGCTTCAGTGGAGAGCTCTGTCCTCTGTCCACGTCAGTGTAGGAACCAAGACTGCTGGTCCCCATCTGAACTCAACCTCTGCCAGCAGGGTGGATGTCTCTGCTCTGAGCTTAGGTTCATGTTCTTCCACCCAGGAATGCCCCTGCCCCTTGACACCCACTTGTCGCAGTGTCCAGCTGTCTGTGCTGCCGTCCCCATGCCAGCCTGGGGAAGCAGTGGGGGTGGGGAGGGTGGCTGGGGCAGCTGGGCAATGATCCCCACCCGTCCCTGGCACAGCTCTGCCCAGCACACAAAGGGCAGAGTGAATCTTGTCCCAACCCGTGCAGCTGAGGAGCTGGGAGGAGGAGACGGAGAGGCACACACAGAAGGGTGGCCACCATGGGGCTCTCCATCACCCAGAGCTCTCAGAGGGCAGCCCAGAGACAGATGCAAAGGAGGAGTCTAGGTCCTGTGCATAGCTAGTGAGGGGTTCCCTGGGGGATGATGCAGGTGATGATAATGATGATGACTAGACTTTACATCAGTGATGACATTGGAGCTTTCCAATGACCTAGGGAGGTAGAGGAGACGGGCAGTAGTAGTCCCATTTCACAGATGAACATATGAAAACCTAGAAAAGCAGAATGACTCACTGAGTCACTGTCAGTGGAAGCACTGAGACCACCACTTATCAAAGGAAAGAACTCTGGACTGTCCAGTAGGAGGCTGCTGCTCTGTCTGGTGACAGTCTTGTGGTTGCATATAATTAATTACATGTGGCTATGTGCTTGCTTCTTGTCCTTGGCAGATTCACAGGAGCACCAGGAAAGCATGCTTTTTTCTGTTCAGGAGGGCAGCCTGGTTGGGAAGACAGGGCAAACAAAAGCTCCAATGTGGGTACTAAGTGGCAGATAAAGGTACAACAGAGAAGTGAGAGGATTTCAGAGGAGGGACAGCAAGGTCACAGAGCAGCTGCCTTGGCTCTTGGCCTTTTAGGGTCGGTGGCATTCAGATGGCTTAAGAATAGGCCTGGAAGACAGAGGTTGGTCTGGGGGTCTAGGTTGAGGGCTGTAGATGACCAGCTAAATGTTCCTCCCACTTCTTCCTCCAAGGAGCCCGAGACCTCTACCAGGTGGTGTCAGCACCTGAACTTCATTTATGAAACTTGACAGCACCCTTCGCCAGCCCCCAAAGATAAGTTTTTTATTTTATTTTATTTTTTTAAGCCATGAAACTGTGAGAGCTACAACCTGCAGCAGAACAGAGGACCTGGGAAAGAGAACTGAGGCTTTTTCCCGGAAGTACTCATGGCACCTGCTCAGAGCAATCCCCATTACCAGACATTGCGGCCCCCTGAGATGCCCACAGGGACCCCGAGATGCCTGCAGTTCTCCTTGGCTTTCCTGCTGGCCTGGCAAGCTGCCCACCTGGCTCAGGCCCAGTGCGTGTGAGTCAGCCATCAATCCCAAGGTTTCCAGGACAACTGGGGCGGGAGAGCAAGCCTGGGGGGCAGCAGGGTGGGCACTGCGGGGGAGCTGTCGCCTACATCTGGCACCTCCATACAGCTGAGGCCAAGCAAGAAGGCACTTGCTCCCCCTCCCTCTCCTTCCCCCTCCCCTCCCCTTCCTCCACTCATCCTAGGATACTCTTCTGCTGGAAGCTTAGACAAATATTTAAAGGGGCAGTTGGGGGTGGGAGGAGCATGGTAGGAACAAACATTTCCTTCCCTCTCTTCTTCCCCTAGCAGCTCAGGGGCTCTCAGCTCACATGCCATGCTGTTGGACAACCTTGAGGCTGAGGCCCTCCAGCTGGAGAGGGATTCCTTTGGGGACAGGGGAGCCTGCCAGGGCTGAAGAGTAGGGGGCCAACTCCTGGTCAAAGGGCAGGGACAAGGTGTGAGGGAGCCTGGAATCTGGGTGACATTTTAGAGTTAAAGTGCAGCTGGTTCTCTGTATCCATGGGTTTCACATTTGCCAATTCAACCAAAAGTAGATGGAAAGTATTTGTGGGAGAAAAACACTGTCCGGGCTGAACATGTTCGGATTTTTTTCTTTGTTATTATTCCCTAAGCAATCCAGTATAACAACTATTTGCATATCATTTACATTGTATTAGGTATTATAAGTCATCTAGAAATGATTTAAAGTATATGGGAGGCTGACTGTAATCCCAGTGGCTAGGGAGCCTGAAGCAGGAGGATTGCAAGTTCAAAGCCAGCCTCAGCAACTTAATGAGGCCCTAAGCAACTCAGGGAGACTCTGTGTCTAAATGAAATATAAAAAAGGGCTGGGCGGGCTGGGGATGTGGCTCAAGCGGTAGAGCGCTCCCCTGGCATGCGTGTGGCCCGGGTTCGATCCTCAGCACCACATACAAACAAAGATGTTGTGTCCACCAAAAAACTAAAAAATAAATATTTTTTTTTAAAAAAGGGCTGGGGATGTGGCTCAGTGGTTAAGCACCACTGAGTTCGATCTCCAGTACCAAAAAAATAAAAAATAAAAAACAAAGTATACAGGAGGATGTACATAGTTTACAAGCAAATGCTATATGCCATTTTACATAAGGGACTTGAGCATCTACACATTTGGTGTATATGTGGGGAGGGTCCTGGAACTCATCTGCAGGGTCAGGAGGGATTGCTGAGTAGGAGGACAAGAGAGTCGGGCCAAGAAAAGGAGGTGTTGCGTTCTGGGTCACACATTCATGAAAGTTAAGGACTTTGGAGACCACCTGGCCCAGCAAGCGAAGGGGAGCCCAAGAGATAGGGTGAGGCCAACTCCAATGAGTCCAGCTCCAAGTTACTGATAGATTGAGCTGGTGCACTAAGCAGCAGGAATGGGTAAGAGTAAGGCAGGGAGAAGGAGAGGGAGGTCTGGAAAGTGGGTGGGATGTGGGTACATACAACTCTCAGGGCACATTTAGTTTTGTTGGTTTGGTCCTGGGAATTGAACCTCGGGCTGCTTGACCGTGGAGCCACATCCCCAGGTCTTTTTATTTTTTATTTTGAGACAGTCTTGCTACACTGCTGAGGGCCTGGTTAAGTTGTTAAGGCTGGCCTCTGACTTGAGATTCTCGTGTATCCACCTCCCCATTTGCTGGGATCACAGGTACACACCACCTCACCTGGCTGTGTTCTGTTTTGTTTTGTTGGTACTAGAGATTGAAACCAGGGGCACTTAACCATTGAGCCCCAGCCCCAGCCTTTATTTAATATTTTACTTTGAAACAGGGTCTCACTAAGTTGTTTAGGGCCTTGCTAAATCGCTGAAGCTGGCTTTGAACTCATGATCCTCCTGTCTCAGCCTCCCGAGTGGCTGGTATTATAGGCATGTGCCACTGTGTCCATCTGGCTATTTTGTTTTTGAGATGAGGTCTTGCTATATTGTCCAGGCTAATTTCTAATTTCTGGGCTCAAGGGATCCTCCTGCCTCAACCTCCCAAGTAGGGAGACCGCAGGAGTGTGCCACTGTGCTGAGTAGCATCCAAGGATATAAAAGGAGTCCAGAGGGATAGGGTGATAAGCCGGCAGGCAGTGTGGGCTGATTCAAAGACAAAAGATTGGGACCACAATCAGCCCTGTACAAGGATGTCCCAGCCTAGGAAAGCAGTGTCAGGCATGCAATCTGTCATCAGAAGCTTGCAGCTCTTAGACCAGCCCAGAGCAAAGAATAACCCCCGCCCCATCCCCACGAAGAGTTTTCCACCAGTGGGGACAGATTCTCCAGAATTAGGAGATGAATGACTGGGGGCCAGTCTGAGGTTAGGTGCAGGATGTGTGGGAGGTGGCAGGCAAGGCAAACAGGAATTCAGCCCTTGGAGAAATGCACATTGATGGACACTCCACTCCAACTGATGTCAAAGCCCCTCCTGCCTTCAGCAGAGCCCCTCTGGGTCTCCTGCACTGCTTCCTGTGCCCCCTTTCTGGAGCCCATCACTATGCTCAGGGAAATTCTGTTGGGAACTGGGGCCCTTAGCTGGGAGAAGTTCACCTGGCAGCAGACAGAAGGGAAGCACAGGGCTGTATGGGCAGGTGCCAGCAAGAAAGGCTGGATGCCAGGAAGACACCCACGGCAAGAGGTGCAGGTGGCCTCAGGGCAAGTTTGCTCAGCTCACCCAGGTTTGCTCTTGCTGGGGCCAAGAGGACTCATGTGCCAGGCATAAGGGCCCTTGGGGGCTCTTGCAGCTGGCTTATCAGGACCTTGGCTCTGGAGGGCCAGGAACAAACAGGCTTCAAAGCCGGGGGCTTGGCTCGCAAACAGGGGACCAAGCCCTTCACTTCTGTCCCCTCTCCCTGTGGGACACATATAAGACCCTGGTCCCAACTGCGAGGTGAGGAAAGGAGAAGGCCTGCAGCAAGATGGATGCAGGCAGCAAGGAGGTCTTGATGGAGAGCCCACCGGTGAGTGTGGTCAGCTGTGTGAGTGGGGGGTGGTTGTGTGCACAGATGTGTACTGGGTTCCGCCTCCTCCATCCTTCCTGGGTCTGTTTCTTCATTCATGTTCATTCACTCAACCAGCCTAGGACAGTGCTAAGTTAGGATGGGGACACCAAGACCACTGGCACAGAGTCCTTGGGGGAGAGAGACAAGGAAGCCCACAATTCCGATAAAAAGGGGCTGGGAGCCACCACAGGGGTCATCGGAAAGGGCTCTAGAGAGCACTGACAAGAGCCACTAAGTACTTGGGAGATCATAGGAGGGAGTAGGGGTAGGAAGAAGTAGTAGCATGGATAAAGGCCTGGAGGTACAAGAGCCTGGATCATTGGGGAACAGAGGTTGCCACAACTGGGGTTTGGGGAGTCTAGAGGAAGTAGCAGCGAGCCAGGCTCTCTTGTGTCCCTTCTAACCTGGGGGCTTGTTGGAGTGCGGGCCACCTCACCCCAGCAGGCTCCTCTGATCTCAGTCTCCTGTGTAGATCCACAACACTGGCTGTCCAGCCCTGAGAGGGCATGGGAGTGTGTCCAGTTTGTGCAGGGAAGGGAGGGGACATCCTCATGACCTCACACTTTTCTCCCTGCCTGCCATCTTGACAGGACTACTCAGCAGGCCCCCGGGGCCAGTTCCGCATCCCCTGCTGCCCAGTGAACCTCAAACGCCTTCTCATCGTGGTTGTGGTGGTGGTCCTTGTCGTTGTGGTGATCGTAGGGGCCCTGCTTATGGGTCTTCACATGAGCCAGAAACATACTGAGATGGTGAGCAGGCCTGGGATGGGGTGAGCAGCAGGCACAAGGCAGGTCAGAGAGGCTGTGTGGGTTGGGCACATAGGAAATCACCCAGGGGAGTGGTGGGGAGCAGGCAAGGACAGAGACGGGAATGGGTGACACCTGACCTAGCCATTTCCAGCAGGCTCCTGTCCCCCAGTGTGACAGCCAGTTCCCTCTCTCTAGCACCTGGTTCTGCTTACCTTCCCTGAGCTCTCAGGAAAGAAGGAATTTCTTTTGAGTGAAGGAACCTGAGGATAGGCAAGGGTGCTGAAGGGCCGAGAGGGGAAAGAAGACTGTCATGCCACACTATAACCCCAGGTCCTCGAGATGAGCATTGGGGCACCAGAAGCCCAGCAACGCCTGGCCCTGAGTAAGCATGCGGGTACCACTGCCACCTTCTCCATCGGCTCCACTGGCATCATCGTGTATGACTACCAGCGGGTGGGTATGCCAGTCCAGGGAACCAGTGACAAGACTTTGCTAGAGCCAACCAGCTGTGCTACTTCACTGCACCCATCTCTCCCTCTCCCTTAGCCCTTTTGCCTCCCTGGGGTGCCTGAATCCCAGACTCCAATGTGACTCCCTATGTGCTGTCTAGAGTGAGCTGGCTGAGGACCAGGGTTGGGGAGCCAGCGAGGCAGGGACTTTCCCAAATGACCTCTAGCATTCCATGCGCAGCTCCTGACTGCCTATAAGCCAGCCCCAGGAACCTACTGCTACATCATGAAGATGGCTCCAGATAACATCCCCAGTCTTGAGGCTCTCACTAGAAAGTTCCAGAATCTACAGGTAGGTGTGTAGGTGAAAGGAGTGGTCTGTCTCCCTCCCAGCACTGCAGGGAGGAGTGTTTAAGGTGACAGCTATTTGTCACCTGTAAAGCACCGCTTCTCTTGGGCTGCCAGGTGAGTGTCCCTTTATACCCTCAACCAGCACCATAGCTTCCCTACTGTTCTTAGCTGCCCACGGTCAGGGTACTGACCTCAGCTGAGCCCACATACTCCCTGTGGGCTTCTGACTTCTGGTACTATACTTGTGGGGAAACTGAGGCTTAGGGAGGCTGCCCAACATGCCTGGGGTCCCCCAAAAGGGCTGCATGATGAGAAAGAAACTCAGTTTTCAGATTCCAAAGTAGGTTCTCTTTTCAGGCCAAACCTGCAAACCCTAAGCTGGGCCAGGAGGAGGGGCATGAGGGAGGCTCTGCTTCCTCAGGAGGAGACCTGGCCTTCCTGGGCCTGGCCGTGAGCACCCTGTGTGGAGAGGTGCCTCTCTACTATATCTAGGACTTCCAGGTGAGCAACTGTGGCTGCCAGGGCACTGAGCAGCAGCGGGAAGGTCTTGGGACTCTGGCCATGTCAGCTGTTCAGACACTGGGGATGCCCAGAAACCAGTGGTCCAGGGAGCTCAGGGGAGGAAGGCTCACAAGACATAGGTGTGGGCACCCCCGGGGCTCTCTCTCACACATGATAAACAACGCTGTTGCTTCACAGGATCTGTGGGAGCGGACCAGGCAGGAAAGATCTGCAAGCAAAGGGGAGAAGCTGCTCTGGTTCACACCCCAGGGACTGACCCTGGAGAAACGGGAGCAAGGGTGTGGGATGTGTGTGGGGGGGTGTATGGGGGAGAGGTGGTTCCTCTGGGCCAGGGGATTCCTATCACAAAAGAATAAAGCAACTGATTGAAAAACAAAGGGTCCAACTTGTACCTTCCGACACCTTCGAAGTCCAGAGTGCTGGGGCCGGCTCGGGGATGGGGAGGGCCTTGGGGGAACAGTCGGGGTTTTGCCGTGTCTCCTCTGTCCCAAGAATTTTGGGGACTCAGTCCATCCCAGATTGGGGAGAGGGGGCAGTGGGGAAGGGACCCGGGAACTATCCACGGGCGTGAGGCGCCCTCCAGTGGTGTGTCCGGAGGGAGGGGCAGAGACAGAGACAGCGAGAGAGACCAAAAGAGAGGGCGAGATGGGAGAGAGCGAGGGTCGGAGGGAGGGAGGGAGAGACGAGAGATGCCGGCCAGACAACGATCGCAGACGGAGGGACAGAGGCTGAGGTGGCGGAGAGTCCTGACAGCGTGTCCCGCCGCCGGGAGGGGCTCGGGCCGGCGGCCGCGGGGCAAGTCGCCGCTAGGGGGCCCCTGGCGGGAGCGGCGGCCGGCCGGGCACCCCGGGCGCCGGCGCCCCCTCCCCGGCCCCGGCCCCGGCTCCGCGCCCCTCCCGGGCGGGCGGCGCGGCTCCCTGCCCTCCCCGCCCGGGCTGGCGCGCTTCCCGGCCGGGCCGAGCACAGTCCCGGCCCCGAGGGGGGCCGAGCTCGGGCGAAAACCCGCCCTCCAGCGAGCTCATTTCCCTAAGGCGGGGGGGCGGGGGGCGGGCGAGAGAGAAAGGAGCGAGCGCCGGGCAGGGCGAGGGAGCCGCGGAGCAGGGCGAGCGCGAGCCGCTGCGAGCGGGGGGCGGGAGACAGGAAGCGGGAAGGGAAGAGGTAGGCAGCGCGGGGGGAGCGGGAGCGAGCGGGCGGCCAGCCGCCGGGAGCGCCTCCTCCTCCTCGCCGCCAGAACTCGGTTCCCCGCCGCCGCTCCCGCGTCCGGGTGCGACCCGCCACCACCGCCCGCCAGCATGCCCGGTGTGGCCCGCCCGCCGCTGCCGCTGCTGCTCCGGCTGCTGCTGCTGCTGCTGCTCCCGCGCCCCGGCCGGCCGCTGGACTTGGCCGACTACACCTACGACCTGGGAGAGGAGGACGCCCCGGAGCCTCTCAACTACAAAGACCCCTGCAAGGCGGGTAAGCGCCCCCCAGCCCCCCGCGGCCAGCCGGGGCGCGCGGAGCCGGGTGCGGGCAGGCCGGGCCGGGTAGGGTTTGGGGTTGGGGGAGGACAGTCCAGTGTGGGAAGCCGGGAGCTGCCTGGTTGGCAATGCAGTGGGGAACAAAAGAACGAGGGAAAGAGGGAGGGGGAAGTTTGGGGGACTTTTAGGACTGAAGTTTTGCTGCTGTTGGTGGACGGCGCTGCTGCTGCCTCTTGCCCTCCCAGAGGATTCCTGGGGAAATCTCCCTGGGTCCGAGAGAATCCCGCGGGCAGGGAGGTTTCCTTCTGCAGGAAACTTTTCTGGTCAAACTCTCTCTGTGTGTATGTGTGTGTGTGTGTGTGTGTGTGTGTGTGTGTGCGCGCGCGCGCCCTCGCTCGCGTTCTTTTCCCTTCTCCCCCATCCCTCCAGCTCTGCGGAACACTGGTGTTTGCCAGCCTGTCTGTCCGTCTCCCCCGCCCTGAGGCTGCACATCTGTCTAGGTTGGTGCCTGGAGGCCTGCAGCTCCAAGGAATAGGTCTCCGAGCCGCCACCCCATTCCAAGGGGAAGAGTAAAGTTTTCCAGGGATTCTGTGGGATCTTTCTCCTAGCCTTTGGTCCTAGCCAGCAGCAACAGCTTTCTGGGCCTCAGGAGATAGCTGTCAAAGTCAGAGAAGGAGGGGACACACCTGTGTCCCTGTGTGCCAAGAGGGCCCTGCCAAGGCCAACATGGGGTGGAAAAGAGGACACACAAAGAGAACTCAGATATTCAGCATCAGCCTTCTTACCCTACATACAGCAGAGGCCAATTAGGTGAGGTCAGGGCCGCAAGAGAGAAAGAATGTGCGTTGTCCATGAGGACCCTCTGTAACCCCTTTACTACTTCTGGGACCAGAAGAGTCCTGCCCCTGGAGTGACCAGATGGCCAGGCACTCAGGCCATTGGCCTGATGGGATGACCCTGAATAGGCTGCTTGGAATGCTCAGGGGATGAGATATCAGAATTTTTCCTCGATTTCCTGCCTCTGTCTTCGGCCTGTCTCTAAATAGCCAGAGCCAGGGTCATGGTTCCTAGAACTGTAAACAAGGGGATGGGTGGGGGCAGGCCACTCTAGCCCTGGCCCTGGAATCCTGGTCAGGCACACTCCTTGCCCTCTCTCTCCTCACTTAGGGTGGAATGGGAGACCTTCTTCCTCCGTATCTGCTGGCTGTGGGCAAGCTGGGATGTGAGCTGTCATCTTTCTTGCTAGGTGCATGGGGTGAAGAGGAGGCAGAGTGGATAGGTCATGGGCTCAGGAGGCAAGCAGAGCTAGTTTTCAATCATGGACTCATTAGCTCTCCTTCTTGGGAAAGGTAACCATCATCTCTGACCTTCGGTTTTCTCACCTGTAAAATGGGACTGTTAATATATCTCTCCATAGAGCTGCTGGTAAAGACTAAATCTGAGAACATATTATCACTTACCACATAGTAAGCACTAAAATGTTGGCTTCCTAATCCCCTGTGTTTTGTGCCTCTGACTCCCACTTCATTTTAAAATATATATATTTTAGGGGGAATGATCTTGGTTTTTAGGAAAAAGTAATGTCTCCTTGACACCACCCTTTTGTCCCTTCCCCATTCGATGCTCTACATTTCTACATTCCTGATGCCTAACATGTCCCAGGCCTGATGTTGTGGGAGGTACAGAGAGGTGCCAGTTAGGTCCCTGCCTTCAAGGGTCTTATAGTCCAGCAGGGGCCAAGAGTTCACAGACATAACCAATAGCACCATCCAAGGTATGTGAAGTGCCATACTGGAGGATAGGAGGCCCCTTGCTCCCTCTGTAGCCCTGTTGATGGGGACTGCAAAGTGATTAGAGGGGCCTGGGAAGGTCTGTGGAGCCTTCATGGAGAAGCTGGGGCAGGGGTGGGGGAGGCGAGGCCTCAAAGAATGGGTAGGAAGCCATGCTGATGTTGGAAATGGGAGCGATTTTGGGAACAGCAAGAGGCTGAGGGCTGTATCCTCAGTCTCAGATTTCATGCTAGGGTGGGGCTGACTAAGTTGGAACTTCAAACAAGGGCTCTGGAGAAAGTTCTCCACCAGGGTGAATTGAGGCTGGTGGGGAGCTGGGCCAGGATTGGGGGTGGCCGAGAGGGCCCGAGAGCCTGACAGGGCCAAGCTTCAAGGTCAGATCAGGCCTCCCTCTTGGGTGTGACTGATGCTCAAGTCCCATGGCCCACCCCTGGAGGAAATTGGATTCTAGTTCCTGGAAACACACACACCTCTGCTGAGCCTGGCCTGCCACCCCCGAGCTGTGGGTCCCCCGGCTGCCCTCTCTGTGCTGTCTCCTCCTGCCTGGCCTTGCTTCTTGGCCCTTTTGCATCCAGGCTCCAAGATGCGGAGGCGACTGGCAGGCACTGGCCTCTACTTCCTTTGAATGTGGCTGGTGGCCCTGCTTACCTCTGTTTGCTCCACCCTCCCCAGCTCTCTCCTCCTCCTTCGCCTGCCTCACTTGCACTAAGGACCAGCCATGAAAGCCCCTTTGACTCCCACAGCCTACCTGTGATCTCTTAGGTTGCTCTGAGGATAACCAGGCTCTGTCATTTGAAGTTTCATTTGAAGTCACCTCTGACAGTTGCTGTTTGAGTTATGGTTACTATTGCAGTAAGGGCAAAATTAAGGCCCTTGATACCCTGGAGAAGTTCCTGGACCTTCTGTGCAGCATCGTACAGTGGACAGGAAGCTAGGCTGGTCTGTTGGTGTGCTCAGAGCAGTTTCCTCAAGCCCGCTCTCTAACGCTTGCCCAGGGAGATTCGAGGTAGCCCCGATCTCTTGTATATTGGGATACTAAACATCAAAGGGGTCCTTCTCTACAATTTCCAACATTGCCAGTGACCCTCAGGGATCTGGGAGAGAGTTGGAGGCAGAAATTGGGGCATAGTTCATCCCACAAGCAGAGAAGTCCATGGGACCTGACCCTGAGCCAGCGAGGCCCTTGCTTCCACCCTGACCTCAGCTGGCAGCTTGGAGGTCTGGGGGAGGTGCAGTGGGCAGCAGCTCCCCCAGTGCTCACCACCACCCTTGCCCTAGTGGCCTTGTGGCCCAGCTATGGACTTTAGGGTGTCTTGGGGGTGGGATGTGAGCACAGTCTCTTCTGTCAGAAGACCACATCCCGCCTTCCAGACACACTGAGTCACCCACCCACCTAAGCCTCTACTTTCTGAGTCACCCTCTCTTTTAAGTGCCCCAAGGGAAGAGGAAGACTATTCCCTGGGCTCTGGATGGAGGGGACTAGTGAGATTCCTCAGGAAGAAGGCATTCCTCAGGATTCAGACTCCAGAGATTGAGGGAGAAAGTATTGGGGGAGGGTGGCAGAGGAGGGATGGAATGGCCACTCCCCAGGCCACTGTGGACTTCTTAAGGAAGGATATCTATACTGAGAGGCCTCAGCTAATCTCCCTCTCTCTCTCCCTCTCTCACGCATGTGTGCACCCCCATGCATTTCTAGGGCACCGTTCTCCTTTGGGGAGTGTGGCCT